TCCCGTTGGAGTCCACTCGAGGGTATAGAGGGCAATCTCACTCAATGGTCTCTATCCCCATTTCCTTCGGCTTATTTGTTGAGCAATAGGGTCTAGTCGGTTCGTTTCCAGCCATTGGGTCTGCAGTATGGCAGGTATGCATAGAAGTCTGAAGTAGTCTGTCGGAAGTGCTTTAGGTAACACGCGCCAAGTCTCTGAGCTTAAACATTTGAATAACTTAGAATTTCAATACTATTTTAACATTCTGATCACTGAGTAATTATTAAGATTTGAAATCGAATAAGATACTCTCCCCCTTTGAATATATAACAGAGAATATCTGACATCATGAATATTGACTTTTGCTAACAAATTTCGGGTGTCAATAAAGGAAACAGTAAACAGAAAGTCAATAATCTTCATATTTGTTTAGTAAAAGCAATAAGAAGAACAAAAAAAACTTTTGGGCAATAAATTGATTACTAAACAAGGGGTAAACAAGAGAAAAATTAATAGATTTGCCAATCATTACAGTTTTCAGTAAAAATGAAAAAATCAATTTACTGGATTTGTTCTCTACAAAATTAAGTAAACAAAAATAAATCAAAGAAAAAGAAGAAGAAGAAGCGACATAGTAAACAAACTAATGAGGGGAAATTTTGTGGTACACATTAATGGAATAGGTATTTTTAAGAGAAATAAACTGTTCCCAATTTTATTTTCATAAATAACAAGAATAAACTAATGATTGATTCAAGGAATTATTTCTTTTCAACAACTTTACTTTCAAGACGATACAGTCGTGTGCAATAAAATTGCATAATCAATACACATATGCTCACACAAAAAAGAGATTAACATCATTGCTAGGCGTCGAGGGATGGTGAGAGAATTGAACTAGATGAAACACAAAAAGGGTTAATGTGAAGAAGAATTTCAGAAGCTACACAGTAAGTTGAATGCTGTTTAAAAGAGGTGCAAATAGTTTTAATATAAGGACACACAAGACAAAGTAAAATGGAGTCAATCAACCGGAAAAAATATCACTGAAGCCAAAATAAGGATCCTAAAAAAATACAATTTAGATATGATGGAAAAGATTTGTAGCTCAGGTGGATGATTTTGATGTAGTTGTGTTCTCAGAGATAGCTGGATGGTTTATTTGCAAAGCTTTCATTGCCTCAACACTAGGCAGTATCTTCAGCGAATACTTTAATTTGAAGTGAGCTTTTAGATTTCTCCACGAGTCTATTAGTCACCTCTCCTGGTGGGTGACCTTGACCGTAACTGGTTGTTTTTGAGTGTTTTCACACCTTTGAGGCTACTTGTATTGGTACTGATTGTTTCCTTGACCTGAACTTTGACCTTTTTTGTGTGTGAGATTTCTTGATATGGTATGCCAGTGAGTCATCACTCAAAAGATACATAGACAAAATTTACTAATCGATAGGAAGGAGACGTCACACAAAAAGGGTCAAAGTTGAGGTCAAGGAAACAATCAGCACCAATACAAGTAGCCTCAAAGGTGTGAAAACACGCAAAAAACAATCAGTCAAGTTCAAGGTCACCCGCCCGGAAAGATGACCGGTAAACTCGTTGAGAAATCTAAAAGCTCACTTCAACAAACTGAAGTATTCGCTGAAGATGTTGACTAGTGTTGGGACAATGAAAGCTTCGAGAATAAACCAACCAGGCAGCTAAGAGAACATAAGTACATTGAAAAAAATAGGATGTAGACTTTAATTTTTCGTCCATGTATGACTAGTACATCAGCAACACATTAGTGAGGAGAAAACATAGAGATACAGGGTTGGTCAGTTTAGCCGTGTATAGATAATCAACAAGTCACAGGTGGTTGAATTACTGATTTTGTTGTCCCGCATTCATCAAACAAAAGGGTTTCAGTAAAGGAGAACTCGCTTACATCGTCCAGTTCAGTTAGCTACGTTGGAGAGTGTGAAATAACAGGTATAAATTGATTACAGGACCCCATCATGAGCCTATATCAGTTAGGGAACCATTGGGAAACACGTAGGAGTACTGTTTCATCAGCCTAGTTTGAGACTCTTGATGAATACGCACTCAACACAAGGGTTAAGACCAAGGGCCTTTTGGTTGCAAGGCGAATTCGTGGACCACTAAGCCCTGGGAGCTGATCCAATGGCTCATGAATTGCAACTTCTAACAACAAAACGGTCCTGGGTTCGAACCCCGATGGGTGGATACTGATGGAGAGTCCCAAACTGGGCTGATTAAACAGCTGTCCCTAAGTGTTTCCCAAAGGTTCTCTAACTGATGTCAGCTCATGATGAAATCTTGCAACCAATCAATGAAATCCCTACAAACCAATATTTGAAGACATACATTGAGGCGAACACAATGAAAGTTTTGGATATATTGGAGAATATTTGTAGCTCAGGTGGATGATTTTGATCTAGTTGTGTTCTCTAAACTGTTTGATTTGATTGCGGAGCCTTCGTTTTTCTGCTAGAAAACATCTTCGGCGAAGGATTTCAGATGATATTTATTTGCATGGCCTGACAACCACTGTCGTGACTGGTTATCAATCTACGTCTTCATTGATCGTTTTTTCATTGACCTGGAATTTGAACTTCGTCGTCATGTGATTTATTTTTTTATTTGTTGGTAAATTTCGCTTTCACTATCATGTATGTTAATCTCTGATTCATTTAAGTACCAGGCTTCTACAAATCCCTGACGGCATTTTTGGTGTTTCCTCTATTTAAAATTTTCAAATTATTCCAATCTAATTGGTGTCTATAATTATCTACATACATTGATATGAAAGAATGTATAGCCTGTTTTTTTGCAGCCAATTTACTTTCTTGTATTTGGATTCGAAGGGGACATCCACTTTGACCGAAGTAATGTTTATTGCAGTTCATATAGTTTATTTTGTAAATGGTATTAATTTTACCTTCTTTTTCTGTTGGATCTTTTGGTTTGCACAATATCGAATTAAGTGATTGTGTTGACTGGCTTGTGTGTTATGTCTATTTCGAACGGTCTTAACACTCTAGTCGTTATCTCAGGGATATTCTTTATTCATAGTAGAGTGAATTTTCTTGTGGTCTGTGATGTTGATTTTATGACTCCATTTTAAACACTTCTTGGTAAAATTGTGAAGTTATGCATTCTTTTTGAAGACGGTTAGTGAGTATTTTTCCTCCACTTTCTTTAACAATGGATTGCGACGGTGCGTTTGAACTCTTTTAAACAATATCTGCCTGCAGTTTCTTTTTTGGGTAATTGGATTATTACTATTATAGTTGAGTATTTTGATCTGTGTGAGTTGATTTCCCATTAAAATGTGTTTCTAAATTTCTCTCTGTTAGTTCTCTTGATCAAGACATCTATGAATGGAATTTTGTCGTCGAATTCTTCTTCTCTTGTGAATTTAATGTCTTCAGATATGTTGTTTATTAATTTGTAGGTATATTCCAAATCACTTCTTTTAATTATTACAAATGTATCATCAACGTAACGTATCCAGATTTTCGTTTAATTATAGGTGGGGTTATAATTTCTAATCTTTGCATAACTATTAATTCTGATATGGACGATCCCATTGGTGTTTTTTTATGTGTTCATATATTTGCGTATTGAATTGGAAGTATGTTATAATACATAATTCGATGAGTTCTATCCAAGTTGAATATTGCGTTATGTTTTCATCGCTATAGAGTAGTTGTTGCTTAGTTTCTTTGGCTAGTTTTAAACAAATTGAAGCATATCAAAGCTGTGACATCAAAGGATACCATTATTTCATTATCGTCATCTCGAATGTGTTTGATTTTCTCTAAAAGTTGGATTGACGGATTGACAGAATGGTCGCATGATTCTATGAGGTATTTTAATTTTCTGAAAAGTTCTTTCAGATAGATTATATGTTGGGGTTCCTGGTAGCAAAACAATTGATCGTAAAGGAATGTTCAGTTTGTGTAGTTTCGGTCTACCGTAAAATCGACGTACCACAGATCAGTTCGATCTTACTCACCAGTGATCTTATTTTATAATTTGTCCTGAATTTGTTAGTTTATTTAATTTGATTTTGATTTTATCACCTAATATTTGTATAAGTGAAAGTTTATCACACCTACACATTATCGAACGGTATTCCAACTCGATTTTACAGGTATAAATTGGAGGCGCAGAGTATGCTAAGCAAATTTACTGTGAAAGCATTATTTAATATTATAAACACAAATGCAACAAGGACTCTTTTGTTGATTCTATGAATCACTAGATGATACATAATAGAAAGTACAGAGTCCTCAAAAGAGTATTTTGATAGTGTATTTATAAAAGAAGTAAAGACAAGCACATGATGACAAGAATCAAAACAGAAACAAGATTTCGACATCATGTTATGGAGATGACTAGATCATTGCTATACTAAATAAATAGCACTCTCTGACTGACTGACTGGTTTCAACGTAGAACTTTGCACCGATGTGTAGCAGTTCGAGTCGCAACACTTCACTTAAAACACAAAGCACTGTAGTATTGAAGGTATAAAAAGGTTAGAGAAAGTATACGGTAAATGTAGAAAAAATATCAATATCAAAGAGGAACACTGAATCCTTCACAGAGATTCTCAGTCTAATGTCTCTTAACAATCAGCCGAGCACCTGACCACAAGTAATTAGACTGAAGTATATAATACAAGTGATATGTATCACATTGAATGATTATTAATTAGTGGGTAATAGAATAGTACATGGTTTATCACTTTCGCTAGTAAATGATGTTAATTTAATTCAGCGGCATAGAATGTGTGGCGATTATAAGCACTAGATGGAGACAAACACTGGACTGCTGTTCAACAGTTTTCTATTTCAATCATGTCCGCTAGTATGAAAACGAAATAAAATGACATTCATAGCTGCGAAAATTAAAAACCATACACTCAAAGTGTGAAAACCATGATAGGTATATAAAAAGCCATAGTTTTGAATAAAATAGACAGAAATGTTAATCATCAAAAACTATCCACTTACCGTTCATTATGGTTTGATAATTCCTGTAAAATTTCAGACATAATATCTTCTGGAGGCATTTCTACAAAGATATAGAAAAAAAAATCAAAAAGAGGTAAAATTAAAGTCAGAAAACTAACAATCACAAAGAGAGATACGCATACATAAAACAAGTGGACATGCTGAAAACTACGCATTACACTAAGCATTACACCATCCCCCCATGATGATGGAGTAGTCACAGTCAATTAGAAAAAAAGCAACACAGAAGACGCCACAGTGCACAATAAACCGAATGCGGACATGAATACACAGTAATACAGAAAGGACAAAACAAAACATCACAAAACACATAACCGGTAGAACAAAGCGTGCACATGAAATAATCACCATATAGTTTGTGTTGGTGGTGGTAATAGGAGAACGTAAAAAAAGAACATCATGACAAATATACACATAGCAGCGGAAAGTGATGTGGCGCAAAATAGGAAGATACATTTAGAAAACGATAGGGGAGCACAGAACAATGGACAACGAATGAATACGTGAGCACACAGGAGATGCTTTGATTACTTTTGATAGTAGACCTTTTCTACAAAAGAAATAGGCTTACCGCGTATCTTTTTTAGAGTCTGATAACCAATTACGGGCTTCTTTAATTTTGGCCCTATTTATGTAGAATAATGAATGATATGAATATTAAAAGAGAAGTTTAACTGGAATAAGAGGTAACTATGACGATGTAATCTCATCAATCAGATACAGAAATTTTTCAGGCTAATTATCTGCAAAAAGGCTGACACTTAACAAAAATCAATTATTTGTCGTTTAGTATCCGTGAATTAGATATAAACCCAGTAGTTCAAGATAGTTAAGCACCATATATATATATATATATATATATATATATATATATATATTATATATATATAATATATATATATCAATAGAAAATCTTTTGTCTAGCTCCCTCCAAACATTACACTTCAAAGACTAACTGGCTCAATGGATCTGAGAGAACTGAGAAATATTTGATAGTCATCGATTCCTTTCCGTGATATCGACTTACGCACCAACTGACTGTAGTTCGGATCGGTTTTGTCAAAAAGCGTCTAGTTTGCTGTTAAAAGTAAAATTTTTGGATGTAATTATGTGAATAGATGTTTTCAACGTTCATGTTCGCCAACTTAGCCAGTCTAAACAGTACACTGAATGTATGTAGAGTGTTCCGTACCAACGGATTAACAATGGTGAATGCCTTTTTTAATCTCGTTCAGGTGACCACCCCTTTTGCCCAGCTTTGGTTCCAAATATCAGGAAAAATTTTTTCCCACTTTTAGATTACCAATATCAAGCAAACGATGATGATACGATAGCCAAACCTTTAACTAGGTATGCCAACAATATTCGACGTGAAGACACGTGGTATTTTATCAAGACTGCTGTAGGAACAATAAAAAAGGCTTTCAACAACATGCAATCAAAAGTTAGAAAATACCAGTGTTTTTCTGGGGCTTCCTCCGAACTGATAGAAGCAAAAGGACACCTCAACAGAGCACTGACATTGTAAGAACTGAAAGTTATTTAAATGCTGACCGGCTGAAAATCAACATGAATGGAAAGAGACTGGTCGTAGGGCCAAAGGTGACATGTGGGAGTTGAATAAGAGGTTAAGAGCTGTCGTGCGGCTACCTGAAATTAATAGCGGAGAGCCGAATACAATAAAGATGTGCCACTGAAGCCCAATGTTCTACTGGGAACTCACGGAGCGAATGATTTTTTTTTTTAGATTTACACAGCTTGATTCCACACTGTATTTTTGGTACAAGTATGGAATTTTCAGCATAAATATCGGTAGCCCAAATTTCGCAGGCCGACCATAGATATCAGGTGTGCGCCGGCGTGGGCTGAAACCACGGACCATGTGGATGATCGGCGAGAGTCCTAACCACTGTGCCACCGACGCACACAATGATATAAGTAACAGTCGAAGGACGTGTTCTATCCCGCAGTTTGCAACATACTGTAGGCATAGGTGACATGGTCATCAAGACTGCAAAATATAAGAAGACTAGCAGCGTTCAACATCATAGGTGTAGTCATTTAATTTCCAAAGTTAGGTAGAGCAATACTGTCGGTGATAATGAGGTTAAGTGCAATGTTGAATAAAGAGGAAAGTTCATTAGAGAGGTTTCACACCTCCATCAACTAAGATGGTTAAGGCACACCAAGCCGCTGCAGTTTTCCGATGAACAATATTAGCTGAAATAAATATACGCTAGGAAAAACTTAGAGGTGATCAGACGAAAACGAGGCTCCAGTTCATGAAGTATATGACTACCGATTTGAGCTACATGTGAAGGGAATAGACCGTCTGACTGGTTAAGGACCAAACGTTGGAGACTTGGTGGAATGGCTCAAATTCGATTGCAAAAGCGTACATGTATCTACTTATTATTATCATCCAAACTCTAAAAATCTTCACTTAATTATTCTCCCTCCCATACACTCGCTTTTTTTTTATTATTTCACTACATTTCTTTTTTCTATTTCCACTTGCTTGACTGAAGTTTGACAAATTCAGCTGCTAGAGTTTTGTGCAAAATTCTACACTGATACGTCAGGCAGTGTATGTATGCAATTATGTTATTAGAAATGTCAATAACTGTCTAGAAACAGCCTCATGTTGTTGTAACAACAACTGACAGATTTATAATGAAGAAGGCTGAAAATAACTTACGATTTCATGGATGATGGTATGATCATAATAATGTAAATGAACGAGTTGATAACGGTTATATATTTATGCGAAAAGTTACCAATTTTATATTCGCATAAGAAAAGAGTGAGTGAATTAAGAAAGTGAAGATGATGAATAAAGCAATCTCAACAACAATAACTATCCAATATATGATGACTAGAGAAGAACAACTTACTACTGACAGTTACACAACCCAAAAGTGTTTATTTGACAACTGGTGATTTTTAAGAAGGAAGGTAACAGTCAAAATTAAAGAGACTGTGCTTAAATTATTCAAGTGTTGGTTCACAAAGATTGGATTGGTTAAAGGAATTCATCATGAGTTGACATTGTGGGGGTGTGGTGATCGTGGTATATCGTGGTCGGGGGTGGGTGCCTTGCGCTGCGGGTTGGCCACCCCTCCGCACACCTCTTGAAATGCTCCCATATGACCGGGCGTCTTACATAGCCTCTCCTGAGGAAGTCCTACTCACTGCCTTCACGTGGCGGAGGTGTTTCTCACCAAAGTGAGAGGGCGAAAGCGGATGCCCGGCGCTCTCCACCGGGTTGACTGTCCATTGGATGACGGTCTAGGGGAGATGGCTAAACCCTGATTCCAAACCTCCAACGACTGGCGTATGAAGCTCACTGGAGCTCACCGGCAGACGTATGGACAAAGGGCTTGTTGGATGTCCTGGATGTCTGGCCCCATTCAAAAAGGCGTATGAACCGAACTCCGGTCACCGGCTGCCAATGGATAGTGGACTCCTTACTCCACTCCTACTGCCTTGTAGGTCACACTTGGCTGTGTAAAGGCTAGAGCTGCACTCTCAAACAAAAGGCCGAGCGATCCTGGGGACATCACTCGTACCAAATTCCCATGAAACTTCATGAACTCTCTTACAAATTGCCGCGCCTGGGCAGCGATGATTCGAGACGTTCATGAAGCCGGCTCATCCTTCCGTAGGAGATAGCCGAAGTAAAGTAAGTAAGTAAGTATATCGTGAACTGGCAAAATTTGGAATTCATGGGCTATTGGATCAGGTCTCAGTAACTTAATGGTCTACGAGCTTGCCTTGTATCCGAAAAGTCCTGGGTTTGAAAATTGGCGATGGGTGCGTGCCGATGAAGAGCTCTGAACCAAGACGAAACACCTGTCAAGTAATCCCTACTGGTTTTCCAATCGTTATCTAACCGATTTCAGCTCATGTTAAAAGCCTTAAATTATTTGTTTCATAATCAACCGATTATAATATCGTTTCATCAGTTTCAACTCATGTATTCAATTTTATTCGTAATACCTACAAGAAGCAGTTTAGAACACCGGGTATTTTCAAACGTGGGTATTATAATAAGATAGAAGACAACTGTTCAGATAAAACGCGCTTAGTTTAGTCAACCATGAATAACTTCTATATAAACATTAATATCTTGTAATAGGTCCTCATGAATCCTTGAAAGTTATACCATAAGAAGAGTGAACACATTTACCCCAAGCGATTTTCAAGTAGTTGGTATATAAGCACTTTAGACACGGAGTAGACATGCACACCGTTTTTAAAGAATACGATGAAACAAGAGGCATTCATAAAGAAATATAGATATATAGATGCCTTTTATAAAAAAAAAAGCCCAGTTTGACTTACCTTCGCCAGGATCATAGTTGATCAAGGTATTCGCAATAGTCTACAAAACAGGAAATCAAGTGTATCACAATAAATGAAAATATACTTTAGAATAAATAAAGTCCTACAGATAGATGTTTTACAGATTACAAAAAACACCATTTGTTGAAGTAATTAAGCGAAAAAAAAACTTTCAGTTAGTTTAATTTGAAAACTCCACAAAATCTATGGTGCGCGCATATGTGTGCACTTCATCAAATCACTCATTCATTCTAATGTCGAAAATGGTTTAATCTTTCATATGCCCAGTAAAAATTTGTAGTGCATGAAAGAGTTCATAACAGTGGTTCAAAGATATGTCATGTTTTAGTTTGATATAAAAAATCTTTTGAATAATCCACAGAAGACAAGCATAAGATGAAAAGGTGAAACTTAAAATTACTACCATAAGTATGCATCACATTTAATATATAAATCAATAGCTTCACTTACCTTGTTTGTACGTAAACCAAAGGTAGACTGAAGTGATGGATCATTCGGTGTACCTGATGGCGCGTAACATTGATTTACATTGGACGGAACAATACTAGGAGTTTGTAGTGATGTAGGAGCAGAATTAAGGTAATTATTTGGTTGCATTGTACGTAATACACCATTATTACCATTTGTAACATGTGCTAAATCTTGAGTATGATCTACACGTGTTCCATATTGCAAAGGTGATGTACATCCTGAACCAGCAGAAGCTCTTCGTATTGGACTTGCTATAGAGGTTGGCATACCAATAGACAGTGAATGAAGGCCATCTGTTGTTTCTCGAATCAAACGATTCATACTTTCTGGGCTTATTTGACCAGTTGATTCTTGAGAACGTTGAGAAGAATAAGTGGGTCCACCGACTGATCCATAGTGGCTAGCACCAGATGAATATGAATGCATATGATCTTGATCAACAGACCTATAAGACAGTGATATGTGACATGTATCTATGTAGACTGCATACACAAATACAAACATCAGTACGATCACACTAAGCATAAAATCCGTTGGCATACCAATTGAAGCATGCTAAACAGACAAAATTACAATGTGTCATGTTAACAATCAAATTCTTTTCGAAAATGTCAGTATCAACACATGTAAAAGTAACAGATCAATTTATAATCATCGGATTCACTTGCAACATATTGCACACATCCAGTAATAGTAACTCATTTGTGCACATGTTATCTAAGCGCTCGTAGATGTATGTCAGAGAGAGAGAGAAAGAGAATGAGAATAGACCATATTAGACTAACTAAACTGAGGAATGAGAAGTTCATCATATATGGTGTACACGAAGAATTCACCTAGAACTAACATACAGACACCCCATCGATGAAGGACGTTATATGATAGCAGAACTATTAAGGTAGTCATTAAAAGAAAGACGATTCAACAGAAGTAATCATGAAATGGTGACATCCGACATTTCCCTACTTTACACCTTGTGAACTACTCTTTAATTCGACAGTTTATCAAATGGTCGTTTAAGTCAACTGATGATAGATAAGTGTTTCTCTCTCTTCTAACGGTATTTTAATTAATTAAAATGATTATTACATAACCGACATATGAAGACGTAGCCACTAAGAAAAAAACCAAGATGCCCTAAAGATCTGGCAACTTAGATTTCAAACTTTGAAAAAAGTGTTTCTTTCCCCTGAACGGCTGTCTTCCTACGACTGATAATACTGAAAGTGAATCGATGGTTTAACATACCATATTCCAGTTCATATAACTGTAAACACTGTGCGATTTATCAGAATAAAATCTTATCTATAATGGAATTATACCATATTCCAGGCCATCAAGTATACACCATAAAGTCATTAGAATAAGACAGTGCATGAACAAGTATCATTTCAAATGTGAAAGTTGAAGAAACACACTGGATTGTATTACCAATGTTCGAAGAGTATTAACAAAATACTGCAATGCAACTTGGAGCAAATTAAAACTCTTCCCATAGTCTACAGTTAAAATTTAATCATTTTAGCAAACAACTGAAACAGAAATATTAGTTAATGAGTGAAAGCAGAGTACTAGTGCAATTCAATCTTCAGTGAGTTAATGCAAGCTACGTGTCTGAGTGACTGGTTTCAACGTAAAACTTTGCACAGATGTGAAGCAGTTCGAGTTGCCACACTCTCTCTTTATGGCACATAAAGCACGAGAAGAGAGTGAAGGGATATTCAAAAGATAGGTAATAAACAGAAATGTGGGTGAGACAAAAAGAATATTTATGTGGAAGAACAACAGAATTTTATTGGATATTATCAATCACGAGGAATGGATGCATCTCCGCCATCGGGAACGATTTTGAGTCATATCACCAATTGTCTCCAGCCTTCGTTGGTTTATACAACACCGAAGACCCCAATCAGTCAGGATGTCTACACCTCTCTATGTGATTGATTGGCTTAAACAAACTGTCATGGATTTCATTGGCTGATGAAGCCATGGTTTCGTTTGACCACCACACTAGCTCTTTTCCAACTTGATCCATCCTATGTCAGCTAACATTGCCCGTCAAGGAAGCCAGTGGCTAGGATAGACATATGTAACACATGTCCTAGCCATCTCCATCGGGGTAACATCACAACTTCGTCTATTGATTTTCCCTCCTTACCTAGCAGTCGACGCTTAACCTCACTGTTGCACAACCTATGATACCACTTCACATGGGATATAGAAGGCAAACTTCTATGATCAAACACAGCTATCCGGAAATGTTTACTGTAAACAGCACTGTTTACAGTAAACATTACTGTATAACACTGAGACTTTATCAAAACAAAAATTTACCCATAATGGAATTATACTCTACCACATTGCACAAGTTTTATTCTTATATCAACACCTATCCGGACTTTTAATGTCTCCCACTTTCAATGATTATGTCTCACAGCCATAAAGGAGGAAAGAGCGAAATGCTAAGCAGCAGACACCCTTCGGTCGACAGTCAGTCGGTTATCACAAAACCTGGATGAGTGCATCGTGGTGCTTTCATGGAAAAAATAAAGCAACTGAAATAATTACAGCTGGTTACACAGATGAATGAAAAAGTGTACACATTTTTCACTGCTTGCTTTCATCACTTTATATCTGTTATGGAAACGTAGTCGAACACTCTAGCTAAGGATGAATTTATACACAGGCGAAATTTGAATAAGACGTAGTTTATCTGAAACGTAATGTATTTGCGCAACACATTTCGGACACTCTGATCATACACGTACTTGTCATATACAGTTTCATAGAAGGCATAAATCATTACAATACAGGTCAAATTGTGTACAGGTCAAGGTCACAAATAATGGGTAGGGAGATGACGCAAAGGTGTGGGTAAGAAAGAGAAAAAACAGCAAAGAAGGGGTTGAAAATATTGTGAAGTAAATTGATCCCTGGTTCTAAATTGGATTACCAAGACAGTCTAAAGGTGATAACAAATAACTTTTGGACACAGAAGAGAAGTTTAAGTCTTTTTATGGCCAAGGCTTCAACGAATTTAAGTATGTGACCAAACCTTGTGTTATATATGGGCTTAAAGGCATTGTTGAAATCAACCTTATAACTCGTCTCTATAATGTGCTTCGCTATAGATGATGTTGGACATCTATTTCCGGGATTAATTGTATCTGGCGATTCGTTGCAGCCACTTCGGAATATGTTCTGTAGTCCTAACCTACAGAGACCTATGTGTCCTCCCTATGTACGTGTCCACACATAAATGTAAATTGATAAACACAATGGGATGTGATACTGTTGTTCGGGTACTGTGGGGGTTTACAGGACAGCATAGTTCTCGTTTTCTCTATGAAGATATGTTTAGCTGCATAGTAAAATTTATTAATTGCCGTCTTGGGTCTTTGTTTAGTGTCCAGACTTTTTTGATCACCCCCGAATGACAAGGATGTATAAGCATCCTTTTTGGGAGCTGATTGGATTGGTAGAGCTCTTTGGTTGACACTTCTTGTACATTTACGGTGAATGCGTTTGAACAAACACTTAACCAACGCCTTTTTATGCTGTTTTGGACAGAAACTATGATAATATAGATACTGTCCCGTCCATGTGGACTTGCTATAGACAGATCGTTTTACTGACCGACCCATCTCCTCGGCAGGTTATGAGGACATCTAAATATGGTCTGTCTCTAAATATGGTAAGCAATCACTATTCTGTATAACGCATGTTAGCAATATGCTGTTTTGTACTCTATTGATCTGGTTTAGGATTTTTATGGCGTCTGTCGATTTATCACAAATGACTACTATGTCATCCACATATCTCTTATAGAAATGAACTTTCCCAATTACGTCCTCCGCTAGGTTCCCACCAAAAATTAATTGTTATTATCTTAAACCTGTCTTGGTAATCCAATTTAGAACCAGGGATCAATTTACTTCACAATATTTTCAACCCCTTCTTTGCTGTTTTTTCTCTTTCTTACCCACACCTTTGCGTCATCTCCCTACCCATTATTTGTGACCTTGACCTGTACACAATTTGACCTGTATTGTAATGATTTATGCCTTCTATGAAACTGTATATGACAAGTACGTGTATGATCAGAGTGTCCGAAATGTGTTGCGCAAATACATTACGTTTCAGATAAACTACGTTTTCTGACTGTGCGAATAATAAGTGAAATACTGATGGGAATACGGTGCATATCGGATGATCGCAAATGTCGTCATCTCAGGCTAAAAATAAAGTCAAAAGTACTACAAAAGTATACACTCAACATTCTACAACCAATAAGTTGATACATTGATTGTCTTTATTTGTCTCATCACTCTGAAACCAACTAATCGGTCTACGGAAAGTCTAGCTGAATTTGGAGGAGATATTCTCCTCCTTAGAATGTCGGCAAGTAGGTCGACTCTGAACTCCCAATTAATGTATAGCATCTTTTTCAGCACAGAGATTGGTTGTTCTTTGTTGATTTTCGGCTTTACATGTTTATATGTAAAGCGTGGTAGATAGCGATTTTGAAGTAATGTCTTCCTCAAAAGAGTGATCTCCTCTTCTACTGATTCCAGGCAGTATATTCTGCCGATTCTAGTCGCAAAAGATATTATCAGGTTACACTTGCGATTAATGGGTACACAACTGTAAACGTTTGTCAGCTGGCCGTTCCACGTAGGCTTCCGATATACTGATCTCTCTTGAGTTCCATCAGTTTTCTTTGTTAGTCGGACGTCCAGAAAAGAGATTGTCTCCTCAGTTTCTGCTTCAGTTGCAAAAGTGATGGCTAGGTGGCAGCTATTAAAAACTTGAAGGACATTATTAAGGTGGCATTTCTTATCACAGAGAGAAGTTGTCGATTGTCGGTTTCAACGGACCATTTTTGAAACTTGCCATGAAAACATCTGCAAGTAACTGGGCTGAAGGTGAACCCATAGCCACACCATCTTGCTATTTATAAATAGTACAATTTAATGTGAATTGAACGTTTAAAGTGCATCTAAGTAGAAGTTCTTTTACCTTGGGTGTGGGTATTACAATATTCAAGTCGTCGTCTTCCGAGCGTTTGCATTAAAACAAATCGTCTCCGTAATCCGGACAGTAATGAAGAGACATTCTACTTCGAGTGATACACTGTGTTGTCATCCACTTCCACAAATTGGATACACCCGACGAATTCAAACGTGTCTCGAAGGGAGTATTTTGAAATTTGTCCTCTAACATGCTGTAGGAGGTTTGCCGATTATTTTGCTATTGGATGGTATGGCGATTCGGACATGTCCAAAATAGGGCGCAATGGAAGTCCCTGTTTGTGAATTTTTGGTAATTTATGTAGTCGGGGTATTATCGTACCGGTTAGTGGAATGTTCTCATAGATATTCTCAGAGATCAGTTGATCACTCTTTAGTTTCAGCAATATCCCAGAGAGTTGCGCATCTCTGTTATTTCTGTTTTGTCTTTCTTTTCTCAGGTGCCGACAAGTTGTTGTCTCAAAGAATAGCTAACATTTTTTCAATAGTTTTTACTATGCATTAGGACTATGCCAGTACCTTTATCAGAGCGTGTGGTCAGCAATTCCTTGTCAGGTCTCAGTTGGTTAAGCTGTTCCCTGTGTTCTTTAGTCAAAAGATTGTTGCACTTAAACTTTGCATTGAGATACTGATGGCATGAGTCCAGAATTGTTGACTTAAAACGTTCGAACTCCTCTTCATAGACTGAGAAAAGATCACTTGTCTGATTGATTCAATTTTCGCACTCAACCGGAAGGCTGTTTCGCTCTAGTTTGAGACACTTCAACGGTACGCACCCACTGGCGTTCAAATCCAGGAACATTTTGATTACAAGGTGATTTCGTAGACCATTAAGCCAGGGGGCCTGATCCAACTACATAGATAAACTATGACATTTGACCGCTTCTATGTGTATATTCCAATTTACTTGCTCATGTGAAGCGAGATATATAGGTCGTTCGATGCTTGTTTTATCCAAAAGAGTCAAAGAACATTATCCTACTTGGCTACGAAAAGGTGACAGTGGATCAATAACATATATTCAACACTGCTCACTCAATATGTGTAAGGAGAATTCATTGAAAGTCATCTACATAATCAAAAGAATTCCATTATGGGTAAATTTTTGTTTTGATAAAGTCTCACAGTGCACAAGTTTTATTCTTTTATCAATAATCAAGAGAAGCCTTTCGAAAACGGTAAGCTTCCGTATACTTAGCATTCCCGAGGGATTAGTGATTCAGATAGAAAACCCTGATTTAGGCACACAGAAGAAATTTCTCTATCCCTTCCTTCTACTTTGGGTATAATTCCACGCTCAAGTATTTTGTTATTAATACTATTTTGTGTATTTTTGTATGACATTTAAGTGACATCTTTTTCTTGACTAACTCTTTATTTACTCTATTTACCTACTACATAATTTATTTTGTACTCTAGTCTCCATGCTGTTTTATTAACATCTTATTTTCTGGGTGTCTTTCATATCACGCAACCATTGTCAATGCTTGGCAATCTTCAAAACCTAGTTACAATTTGATTACTCATCACATTTTCGAAACATTTTGATGACGCAAAGAATAACCCTAACTGATTTTTATTTTTGTTAGACAATCCTAATTACACACACACACACACACACACACACAATAATTACAGATATATGCGACTGTACAGCTAAGTCAATGAATTCGCCGAGAAGAGACTGTTCGCTGAAGTTTTTGTTGTAATTTCTATTCACATGTTTGGATGGATATTTTCCGTGGATAGCGAAATAGGCAAACATTTATGCCCTTCAGGGGTGTAAGGATCGATGTTCGAAGTTTAATGCAGCAGTTGAGCACACTTATCATCCAGAAAGTAGATTCAAATCTAATAAACAATTTGTAACAATAGCACTACTAACAACAAATGCTTAATTAAGGTAAGCATCTGATTGCTTCACATTCGATATAGACAACCTCACTTGTCCTGGTTTCATATTAGACCAGGAAAAAGCAGTCAGAGTAACATTTATATTTATTATAAAACAAAATTAAGTAAGTTCCGTTCAGTGCATCATCTATATTTTGGATTTTAGGAATGACACAAATTAAATGTCTGGAATCAGATCTATAGTGGATGGTATATATATTCAAAGACAAAAGCTGTGAGCAGTATATATTACCTAGTTTCTAACATCATTTAACCGTGTTGCATAATCCATAGATAAACAGGTGATGAGAAAGTTATTATGCATAAAATAATAAAATACAAAGGAAACGGTGGGTTAGTTTAAATTTTTAATGATTAAATCAGATTGTTAGTTTCTTTTTGTTTAAATGATACCAGTGCTCATTTACTCTACACTACACTACAAGCGAAGAAATCAGTGTGCAATTAACGCCCGACCAATAAATTTTTTTTTTAAATGAGCCAGAAAAGTTAACAATCTAGAAACAGACTATTAATCAGAGTGTCGCATAAATACTTTTCAGTGAATGCATACAGAAGACTTAAATTATAACTGCACAACTAACTGATGGTTGGTTATCTAAACTATAAAAATGTCAACTACTAATTGAAGCTTGTAGCCTAATTAAACTTTATTAAGTATATTGGAATAATAATAATAATAATCGATTCAAAAATTTTTCTTTAAAAAAACATACCTATGCATTATTATTTGTGGGTACATGTGATTAGTAGTAGAAGTGATAGGGCGGCTGGGGGGGGGGTTAGTAAAATAAAACGAAATCAAATCAAATCCACTAGTGCGTTTTATTATTATCCACTGAGCATTTTTACAAGCAACAGTGAATAATAATCTACATGCAAAGTGGTGCGCATTGTTATGTAAGTAACTAAAATCATGCAAATTGCATATGCAGGAGGGGAAAAATAATCAATCAGTTAGAAGATAATAATAACATGCGAATCATACTGCCGCTAATTTTTTTTTTCTAATATACCTTTTGTAAGGAATACACTCTTAGTAAGATTAGTATAATGCACACACGCACGCACACATACAGTGACATAGTGGAGACACAGGAGCATACCGAGAACACAGTGAGTGGGCAATTCAGTGCATTAACACACAATTATTAATACATAAACACACATACACAGGTGACACATGTAATAAAGTTGCACCAACCTAGTCATATAACTTCGATTCGTTACAGGCAGAGAATATTTTCTCAATGATCCTGGACTGAAATGTGATAGCAGTAGGAGTAGTAGTAGTAATAGTAGTAATCATGAGTGATAGGGAATAGCATTTCATAGTATATGGAGAAGGATATAATAATTAATGATTTATATAAATATGAACAAAATGAAAGCGGGAAATGGGGATGAAACGCGTATATAAGGGGTATAGATAAGTATAACTATGATGAGTATAAATTCAGCCTACACATATGTGTGTGGGGGTGGGTGGGTGTAGTTAATCAATGACATGACAGATATAACAACAAAAACAGCATGCATCATGATTTCTGAAAAGAATTGGGTTTCAACATTATAATGTATGCAATAGCTGATTAATCGTCAAAACAAGATACAACATAAGTTATGATATACGACTCCAAGCAATAAAGTTATATGTGTTAGTATATCTCAAAATGCTTCTAGTCATATACACCAAAAGAGAATCTTTTTTTACAAATACAAGTACTCCATGAGTGTAATTACTTAACTGAGCACTCTTCTATCTTAACCACAATTACTATTTTGACTTAAGAACGAAGATCATACAATCATTGTCATGAGGGTGGGGGGGTGGGGGGATATATTACCTAGCTTAAAAAAAGTGACAAGGTGATGGGAAGATTCAACTTTATTAATACCAAAAAGTATGCAGACTTACGGTGATTTCCATGATGAAGTGTTATGATTAGAGTCGCCTAAATTCATTAGACCACCACCTGTAGCTGTTTTCTGGTATGTTTTAAGCACTTCATGTGCTCGATCTTGAGCTGTACGAGGAAGAGCTTGTAACAGATTTGAGAAACTTGAAGTATTTAAGTCAAACAATTTAATTACAACACGAGAAGCCATCTGAAATTTTTAAAAAATGTCATGGGGAAAAAGCATCACAAAATATCGATTTCAATCAGAGAAAAGTCAATTACTTTAAATAACGCATATAACACATTATTTTCCATAATTTATTTATTTAACCGTTACACGAAAAAATATAAATAAATTCAGTGGTGTTTTTAAGTGTACCATGAGTAGCGGCGGGTAAATAAAGAAATCTAGGTTAGTGAAAATGCCTGAAACTTATGAGATAGAAGTGAATACATATGATTCTATTGATTGATTTAACCTATATCTTTTAACCAGTACATATATTATCTAGAGTATATGAACCAGATGCTTAAAATTCATGTTCAAAAGTCTTCTGTTTTTCTTCCTGATTAAGTTCTACTTCGAAGAGCGTTGTTTCTTCATGATGACTAGGCGGCATATCCGACAGTTGTTTTAACATTTTAGTTGATGAAGATTTACAACCTTATCGATAAATTTGCTTTTTTCATTTCGCGTTTTAATTCCGAACTTTAAATTTCATTTTGCCGTAGTTTCACATTTCTACTTTATAATTAAAGAAGCCTCTGCTTCGAATTATCTTGAAAGGACCTGTAAACCTGCATTGTCTCAAAAAATATATATACTACCCTAAAGGGGGGCGGCGGATATATTGATTAAAACACCAAAAATCTACTGAATAATACAAGCAGGATAAAAGGTAAAATAAGAGGACTAACCCGACGAACGTCAGCTGATTTCGGTTCTCCAGACCAGCTAATAATTCTTCCGATTGCATTAGTTACTTCACTCGATGGATTTGCAATAGCATCTGGACTCATCATTAATATTAAATCTTTCATATACTCTAATAGACATGTTTTCACACGGAAATTTGGCGTATGTGCATTATCCATAATGAAATGACAACAACTATTGAATTGTAAATTTAAAGGGAAGTGAGATCTGAAGGGAGAAAAAATATTGACATTTTTATTTGAAAGACTATAGAGATGAAAAGGAAAAGCCACCAACCAGTAAGCTATGGACAGAAAGACTTAATTGGCTTCCCACTACATATTATACATAAATAAACTAAGCAGTAGGGGTGATATACTGATGTAACATTTTAACAGTATAAAAACACAATGAAAATTAAAAAGAAAATATGAGGCTAGAACGAAAACATACAAATCATGAACCATACTGATCTCAAAGCATAAAATATTAGAAACCCTTGTTCACTTTACCTATGGAAGCGTAAAAATCCTGTTTTTATATTATGCACTATAAGTATGGTTGCAAAATACAGCTGTACCCATGAAATAGATAAGTAGATAGATTGCGTATATAGATGCTAAACGAGGATAGAAAGGGTATTATGATAAACCATAATCCGAATTTAATCCACTATGGTGACACAGAAGTGTTCCTTGTATACATTATTGAGATATATGTTCAGTAGTCGTAACGACAGAACAGCGCTGTAAACTGCAGTGATCACAGCATACTTTGCATCAAACGCTTATCTTTTGAATCCTGAACTGAATCCCGTACTACCAGTAAAAGGATGAACTCTAGCTAAGCTTTAAAATCACAGGATTCAAGGGAAAAAGTTCACTTTACCAATCTTAGATGATAATATGTGTTTTATTGACGACACTGACAACTTGCCGAGTTTATTAAATACTTCGATAAAAACATTTCCTCAAAATAGTTGACAGCGAGATTTAATTCAACTCAGTTTCCCGTCGTTTTCCATATTCAAACAGTTGGCGGAGACTGACACCTGCTATGCGATGGTTTATGATACTTCCTAGTTGCTTAAACTCAGCTAGACGATGCAGACTTCAAAACTGTGATTCAATAGTTGAAAAAGGAGCTTCAAAACCGATGAACTATAGCTTTTTTTCCATGGTAAGTATACGTTTCTCATCGCCCGGATTTGATTCACGGCTGACGCCCTCCTAGACGTTACCTAGTTTAAGCGAAGGGGGGAGCTTAGGGGTGAGGCTAGCAACCCCACTTCGCGAAAGCGAAACACTAATCAGTTAGGTCTATAATACTGTTATCCAGGGAATTAAAATCAGTTTGAAGACGAGAAAAATAAATGGAAATCGACTGTAAACATACAGTCTCAGTTCAGTTTTTCTACAATAAAATTACTCAAGCATAATCTAGTTGAAATGCAAATAAGGTGAACAGCTAACCATTGTTGAGAGTAATGAAGTCAACTTAATGCAGTGATCTGATGTTCATTCAGACTCAGTTTTAATATAAAATGAAAACATCAGAAAGAAAACATGAAACTATGCTTGCGCGTAAATCACCTCTATTTATTAAGTTATAATTTAATGGTGACTTATCATGTGAGACTATTCCAGAGAATATCCAGGAGTATACGAAGAACTTCCACATTAGTTTGTTTATTGGATGTATCACACAGTGAAACAGTATTACTTACTGGATGACGTTTCGAACAAAATTTATTGTTCATAATTATATCAATCAATCAATCATGTAAATTGATATGATTACGAACAATAAATTTTGTTCGAAACGTCATCCAGTAAGTAATACTGTTTCACTGTGTGATATATCTAATGAACAAACTAATATGGAATTACTTACTACCACAGTGCCCGAGTTTTACACATACATTAGTATACGAAGAACGTTTTACGCAGCATAACTATGTTTGTCATTCTCTAGCCGACGAATGATTGGAACACAAACGAAGGATAAGCTTGATAGTTCTGCCGCATCTATGTGCATTTATCAATTCAACTGCACCTGCGGTGAAGTTACGTTGGGGTTACTACCAAACAGCTTAGGCAATGTGTTAGTGAACATCTCCCATTGTGGTTTGGCAAAGGACAGACAAAAATAATCTGTAACTCAATTTTGTCACAGTTAATTGATAGTGGTCATGTAGTGAAGAAAACGAGAGCCTTCAAAGTAATTCATCGTATCCCACCGAATCTTTCCAATAGACTTTGTAGACTATCTATCAATTCAACTGCGCTTGTGGAGCGAGTTATATTGGCTGTTGCTCTAGGAACTTGATTTTTCGTGCTCGAGAACATCTCCCACTGTGGCTAAGTAAAGGTGCAGTTAAAACCATTAACAGTTCGATAATGGACCATCTGGTGCAAACCGGCCACAGAGCCAGCCGGCGTGGAAGAATCCTTCTCTATAATCTACCGGGTGCCTAATAAATTGCCAAAATCATAGAAGCACCGCGTGCTCCAAACAGTAGAGGCTATTGCGATTCGCCTCAAACAACCAGCGCTCTGTGTTCAAAAGAAGCAAGTCCAGCCCCTACTATTGCCTTGGCCTTCAGTAGAAACTATAAACTCATGAATTTGTACTATTATCTTTCTTAATGTTTCTGACATTCAGCTTATTTTATGTTGATGCGATTCAGCTGTAATCTATCAATATTATTGATTCGATGTTATTTAAACATTAATGTCGTTCATAAGACTAATTCATTCATTCACTATAATGTATGTATAAATGTAGAGCCTGATGATAAATTTATGGAAAAGAGTACTCTTTGTGAAGTATCCATTCTTTTGAAAGACTTCGTATTCGTCTACTGCACACTGCTGAAGCGATAGGCATTCGAACTATTAAACCTAAACTATGCATTCAAAAGAAGTTCGTACAGCCATTATCCCTCCCTTGGCCTATTAAGAAATAACCAACTGATGATTTCTCCACCATCCCTTACTTACATTTTCAACCCCTCTCTTATCATCCCTTAATCTTAACACATCTTCATTGAAAACGTATTTCATTAACTTCCCTTACAATCTAGCATTATGTAATGGGTTCATTTTTTTCTTAGCCTTTATCGACCACCTCTACGTGAACATTTTGTTTGTTTAATCATGCTGGTTCCCGTTTTTCTTGTTACTACAGATCGCCTCACTTTTTGTCCTTAATATTGATAGAACAATTATTATTATTATTATTATTATTATTATTATGACTAATCGCACAATTTATATGCACCATCTTAATAAAATCGTTCGTTGAAAGTATATTTAAGCTGTTTTAGCATTTACATAATAACCACTGGTGATGTAATAAGAACAGATAGAAAAGTTATGAACGAAGAGAAATCTCTTACCTGAGAACAAAAAGTGTTTCTTGGATAGCTTTTTGATGACTACTCAGAGCTTCATGACTTTGACGATATAATAAGCGAATTAAAAGAGTATATAACCAATCCCGAAGTAAAGGATTATATTCTTTGATAAAGAATTGCAATGTATCCATAAATAAACTGACAACCTATCGATGATGAAACGAAAATAAATACCGAGAAAAAGTATGAAGAAAATTCAGAAAAAAAATCCATGAAACAACGCCATGATGAATGTAACAATTTAGAATCGTTGCATGCTGGAAAAAAATTCAACAATCCACTAATTATACAGTTAAGAATCTAAAGAATTTGACTAGTGCAGAAGAATGTGAGGAATATATACAGTTAAGATAGGGAACACATAGGTCACTTTACAAAAAACACATATTGGAAAGACAGCATGTCATAAAATAAGGGGGAAAAACTCACTTTACTCTGAGAATCTGCAAACATTTTTGAAAAGATTTCTGTCAAACAACGAATATCATCAGGGCTACAAAAAAAAAGAAAAATAAGAATAAAATGTTGGAAGTAACATTTTGAAAGAACATTAAACTTTCTATAAATTGTGCTGACAGTTAACAAGTATGAATTACATAGAAATAAAAAAGTGAATAGTAATGACTTATTTAGTTCGAATATAATTTTATAAGCTAGCCCTATAAGTAAAAATAATTATGATGCGCAGAGCTAAGCGTTAGTATATATATATATATATATATATATAACTGCTGTATTGCATTGCTATAACTATATAAAACAATATAACAACTATCCGGTTACAGGATCTCATCATGAGCTGACATTGGTTAGAGAACCACTGGAAAACCAGCTGGGAGTACTGGTTTGCGACTCTTCACCAGTACGCACCCACCGGGGTTTGAAGAGTCCCAAACTAGGACAAAACAGCTGTTCAGTACTCCCACGTATTCCAATGGTTTTCTAACCAAAGCCAGCTCATGCTGAAATCCTGTAACCAATCAATGAAATCCTTACAAACCAATGCTTGAACTATACGGTTAGTTACAGAATATACAGTCAACTGCACCTAATGATTTAATAATACACTTTATTGATACATAAAGTGGTTTAATAAACCATATTAAGCATGCTATTGATTCGGATTTAGGTAAAATCTAGTATTAAAGTTGAAAACCAAATTGTGCTGCCTCGTACTAGTTCGAGACTCCTTAAAAGCAATGACAGCCAATCACATCGCAAAAGATAAGATTTGAGACCACCAGGTCATGAGGTGACATAAATCTTCTAAAGTTCTTGTGATAATTTGTAATCTAATAAATTCATATAGAAGGGTATCACCGGAATCATTCAAGAATTACTTTTGATAATAGAGGTTGCTCTATATGAAGAATAGACTGTAGCTTTTAGATAGGTATTCGAAGTACTCGTAAATATTTTAGTATTCTTAATATAGAGAAACCTTATGATGTACATGCTGTTATCGGCCACTCAAACTGGATGCGTTTATTGTGAAACGTTACATACAAATAAATGGTTACTCTAAAATTTTTAACGCGAACCTTCATTCCTATAACTCAACTAACTATTAGTGATGCAACATTCAAATCTCTCAAAATCCAACTATGGAGGTATAAAGTTGAATGTCTTTTCAAATATATGGGTGGATAAGTAAAAACAGAGGATGTGGAATCATGGTAAAATATTATACAATGCATGTAAACAAATCTGAAATGGTAGTTAGTCAAATGAAGAAGAAATGAAAAAGAAACAATCATATATGGTATAACTTAAAAATTCCCATTGAGTCATGTAAAAGAAGCACTCAGTGAAGAATTACTCTTCTCGGCGATGTTATCCTCAAGATGTACGATCGCATATGTGTGGTAAATTATCTTAGCAACAAAATGAATATTTCTAAAGTCAGATGTCCCTTTATACAAAACAAAACCTCATTCGTTCACTGAGCCACCAAATTCACAGCATTTTCAGCCCTGACACTATCGAAGAGGGGCTAAACACTCTGAAGAGAATCCATCTCGATAATCGCTACCCAGAATGTTTCATCACAAAACCTAGGAAACCTAAACCGACCACACTTTCTGCTTCTAAAATATCTCATCGGAGACTTATCAGCAGAAATACTGAGAGAACCGCCTGCCCCGCTCACTGAAGAAAACCTTCTTCGTGACTGAACTCCGACTAACCTTCTCTACGAAACCAATGATTCACATAAACGTGAAGAAAAAGCTACTACTAATAGCCTCATTAATGTGCATCTATCAATTCATCTGCTCATGTGGAGCGAAGTATGTCAGCCGTACCCAGCGTTCGCTATCCAAACCTATCACCGAACACTTATCCTCATGGTTTTATAAAGGAGAAAATAGGTCCCCCTAAAGCTTCATTCTGGGACAGGTGATCGAATCAGGTTACCAAGTTAACCCACAAAGTAACTTCACAGTCATCTACAGAATGCGTGGGAATCTTACTAAAAGAGTACGAATCAAATTTTTTCAAACTGCAGAATCAATGGCAATCCACATGTTGAAACCTGAACTCTACATACAAAAGAAGTTTGTTCAGTCATCAAATATGCAGTGGACCTGGCCCATCTTAACACAAAATACGTAATTTTTGTTTTATCTTTTTCTTGCTTGTTTGTTTCTTAGTTGTATAATATTTTCTTCCTCCCCCCCCCCATTTTTATTAAATGTCTGCCACTGTTGTGGACTTGACTTTTGTTCAATTTTAATTTTAGTTGAGCTCTACTCAACACCGTCAGTTAGATTACGTCACTCAACTTGCTTATTTAATCTTACTTTAGCTTCTACCCGATTAACGCTTTCTACATCATGTAATTTGTTACCTAAAATCTACAATTCTAATAACAAATATTTGGAAATATTCATTTAGTTGCTAAGAGAATTTACTACATACATAGGCGATTGCTCAGCTTGATATTAACATCACCGAAAAGACTAACTTCTCGCTGAACGCCTATTCTTTTATACATGGTACAGATGTACCTGTAGTAAAATATTAATCCATTATTTTGAAATACATGACTTAGATGCTTCGAACAATGATTTGCAGTTCTTCCATGAACTCTGATCAATGTCTCTATAATAATGATCCAATTTGATAAGTTTATGTAACAACTTTTCAGTCATTCAAATAGGATTAAACTATTAAATTAAAACAACTAAAACAGTTAACAACTGTTACCGTTTTGTTGTTGTTGTTTTTTTAAAATTTGTTTCTTCCCTTAAATCCGGAAGACAAATGAAAATTGGGTTTTGTCGATCAATAAAACATTTTATCTGGTGAATTTCAGCCCTTTTAACTAATCGTCTTTTAGAGTTCAGTGCATTGATATCCTGGCCAGAATTTAAATCTTACTATTAAATACCAGATCACTACGCCACGTACGTAGTTTGACTGAACACATACTTTTACATTGATCTAGTACCTGGGCATTACTTACAAGTATTGTTTAGTTATTACTGACACTGAAGGTTTACTTAAATCCCGGTGATTTAGAACTACAACTAATCAGAGGTAGATCAGGTGCTTGAACTATTGATCTACAGATAAGATAGACATACAATTATTGTCAAATACATATTACAGCAGATAATGTTTAAAAGAACACTACTTTTAGTAGAATATACTAAAATTACGAGGAGGATAAGGTAATTTTATTCTACTGTATCACTCACTTTAGTGGGTATCCAGAACGCATATAATTCTGTAAATTTGTCAAACCATCTTTTCTATCAGACCATTGAACTGCTTGAAGTTGGGAAATTATCTCTTTTAAATTCTGAAATAAAGTTTGGGAATAAAATTTATACGTTATGGGTATTACATATTGCTAAGTAAATACGAGTTATAATGTGTTACCCCCACCGAGCTACCGACTTTCTATGTATGATTTGGTTAGAAAATAATTCCGGGTGATCAGATGAAAACGTAGAACCAATCCATGAAGTCTCTAACTACTGGTTTTAACAGCATAAAAAAGGGGAGTAGGCTGTCTGGTTAGGGTTCACAGGTTGCTAAGAGTAAATAGCAGAAGAGAAGGCCAGTAGTTCGGCGAAGAGTTTCTTTTCGGCGAATTCACTTTCACAGCCGTAGAATCGCAAACATATATATATATATATATGGTTATTTTGTATGTGTGTATATATTAACTTTGTCAAACGAAAAGTTTTTGGTGGTATTACGTAATGGAAAAAGTATCCAGAGGAATTGGATATTGATATAAGAGGGTAGTAACAAAAGTGATGAGTTGTCATCATCGATTGTTAAAGAACAATTACGTAACAGCATGAATAGTTTGGTGAAAGAGTTGTGCTCAGGGTGGACGTGGAAACAAAATAAAATACGGAGTTGCGTAAGAGTTTTAAGAAGTTAGAAAAACAAGAAAACAAGCAAAGGTTGAGTGAGATCAACAGAGTTGTTACCATGATAGTAGAAGTGCCTGGATAATTTTCATTTGTATGCATAGTTCTGGGTTTTATTTAACTGAATGGCTAGGGCTTCTGCAATGCAAAGAAGATGAAAACGTATTGTCTTTGGCAGACTGTTCTTCACTTTGTAGATTACTTTGAAGGAGAAGGCATTTGTTGAGATGGAATGATCAGTGGTGATGAGATGTTCGATTATTGCGCTCTTTATACGGTTGGAGATTGTTGGTAACATGGTTCAAATTCGCTGGTATGTATTCACTCTTTGCCACCTTCCGGGTCGTATAAAACAGCCCCACTAATCTTCATCTACTTATCCTGTTTCTCCATATTTTCTTTACATTTATGTGTGATTTTAGAAAGCATAGTAACTTGAAGTGCTGCACTTTTGTGCAGTTCTCTACGTTGATAATTCGGTTTAGCTTATCCTACGAAATAAGTTAGAAACTTCCTAGTTTAGAAAAGGGGTAAGATTTACTTTATCTAATTTCTGAAGCTCATGAGGAGTTAAACAGAAAAATCCCAACAATTATATCTGTACTAAGAATCGATGAATGACTTAAAAACCCCTTTATGCTGATGATTTATTCAACTAATTGTCGTCTTTAAGATGCAGAATAAATACTTAAATAACATCTAACTGAATGCTGGAAGAGGCATAAAAAAGAAGTCCAATTCGTCACATGAAATCAGAGTGTTCGCGCTTTTGTTTTTTATTTTGTTATTATCTTTGTACTAACAAAAATCAGGTATCATATGGTCAGTCTTACTTAGCTTAATACGCAAATATAACCCTGGCTTCACATTAGTGAAGAATAACTGTAGTACTTTATGTTCATCGTTGTACACACTAAAGTAAGTGAAATAAACCGTTTAGATTCGTATTTTGTGACCACATGTCATTCTTAATGACCCTTTTTTCTTCTATTCCTTTACGTTTTCTGTGAAACATAGGTCGGTGGTGTTGCTGGCCTGACGCCCTACCTTCCCTCTTTACCAGGTAAAGGAGCGCTTTGGCCGGTGATCCGACTCCGGACCACATGCGTTGGTTGGCGAGCATTCTATCGTTGTGCCACCAACGCATGTTAATGACACCTACACAGATATAATAATCAAGTTGTGATTGATAATATGGAAAAAAAATGTTCTCTATTGTTTCCTGTTAAATTGTTAGAGCATAAGTGAGCTTAGTTAAAAAAAAAAGAAGTTAACTACCAGTCATCCGATACAAATATGCTGGATTATAATCTTATAAGGCTATGACTGACGTAGGCTTCAAAAAATTCGGAACAACACAGCGAGAGAAAATCAATAAAATGAATAAAACATTTTAATGAACTAGAAGAAGGATTTTAAATAAAGAGGAAAGATAAATGGATCAATAAGAACTGTAGATATTATTCAACATTTATATTAAAATCAATACATCTCTATACATGAAAAAGGTATCTAAATCTTTATAATTACTAGACATCAACCTACTGTTGCCTAGCCAAAAACGCTGACGATATATATATATATATATATATATATGTAAAAGTCTGAATAAATGTTAATTATATCGGCAACAAATACTGACTGGCGACAGTGTATGATGCTTATACTTTACAGACATTATCGATAAGTCTTCTCATAATGTGCAACAATAAAAATAAATGCATTATCATTGTCTGCTTTCTTACTATTATTGATTATCGAAATAATGTCTGTTCATATACATACAGTGTGAAGCTGTGATTCATTCGTCTCGGCGCTTAACTCAACCATAGGGTCATGAGTTAGAACGCCGCCCCAGCTACCTAATTTTGAGTAGCTAAAAAATATCACTATTCATTATACAATAATTTTGGCTCATTGCCAACTGGATGGGAATGCAATTGGTTGTTGAGTAACACATTTACTAACTATAACATGCAAACATTTACTATTAGCTAGGTATAATAAATAGAAACAAATAAGACAAACTTACACTAGTCACCTTCGTTGAAGACTGACGTCGGTAACCAGGTGCTGAACGACCTGAACGTTCAGAACACTGAGATGATGTCTCGCTAAAATTATCATCTGAGCCATATGGAGCACGATTACTACCAACTGTGTAATGTCTACCGTATAGAGGCTGAAGAAGGTAAGAAAACAAAGTATTAGTTATAAGGAACTTTCTAAGTCAAACAGACACTGAAGACTGCAACTGGCCCCCAAAAGGAAGTTACTAAATTTAAGGTACAGTTGAGAAAAGAAGTCATAAAAAAATACAAGGAGAACAACGTGACTAGAAACTGATTGCTTTTTGAGCTTCGCCATTTGGTGGCCATTTCATTACCGAGCTTGTCGATATCTTCACAGGAAGTATATATATATATATATATATATATATCGGATTTGCCTTGTAATCATATCACTACTAACCATTAAACTATACATTATTGGATAGTTTGTACACCGATCACATCAACAAGTAGTACTCGATAGACTGGAAGATGGAAGTGATGAAAACACTGGACAGTTATTGCACTCGTTTGGGGCTGAGTTCATCAGCGGTGAATCCAGTTTGACTCAGCTTAGAGAGCCCAATCAATTTAAAGGATTTGATCTTTGACTAGCCACTTAGGCGACCTGGTTTCACCTTAAATCAGATTCCCAATTTGGAAATTATTTTATTATTATTATTATTTTGCAATTTACAAGGCGAGCTAGCTAATGGACCATTAAGTCACTGAGACGTGATCCAATGACCAGTCCATGAATTCCAACCGCTGCCAATTCACGACATAGCGCGACTACTAGCCAATATCTTCGACGAATATTTGTCCTCACACCCGACCTGATGCACCCTACTGGTCACGACTCCTCACTAGAACCTGAATAGGACCAGTCGCTAGTGAGTATCTCATTGATATTCAAGTGTTGGTTCGTAGAGATTTGACTGATTGGTTGCAGGATTTGATCATGAGCTGATATCGGTCAGATTACATCAAGCAGATCTAAATAATCTCACTAAGAACTGTGTAAACTGCAAATTATGAATTGAATTCACTAATTTCGTATAAAAATAAATTGACTTCAAGATTCCAAGAGAAAAATGATACAATATGAGTATGCGAAATGAACATGTGCTTATTTCATCTTCAACAGTGAATATCTCAAAATAACAATAAGCACAAATTACATTTCTGTGTGTTATCCATCTGCAGCATTTCATTTAATAAGAAGTTTAAAACCTTTTTTCTAGAGAATATGCTTACAAATAATTTCAGGCGCATAACAACTAGGTCATTTAATGTCAAAGTAAGCATAAATCTTATTTAGCTTTGGATAGTAGAATTGAAATCAAGCGTTTAATATCTTTGCTGATCTACAGAAAGTTATTTAAGAATATTATTAAGATAATGTGCTCGCATAATGCTAAAATCATTGACTGCATAATCAAGTCATAATAACACTAACAAATTAAAAGCTATCCTTTATTCAAAAGAAAATCTTTGTCTAAAAAGAAAATATTTTGTACTACTATTGTAGGAGAAATTAGAATATGGTTTAATTCATGAAGGCTTCTTTCTTCTCTATGTCTCCAATGTGCTCACAATATTCGACAAGCATTTTATCAGCACACAATGAATAATGTTACAAAAGTGTTGATTACTGTCCAATTAGTTGATTAGTTATTTACGATATTTGACCTAAAGATATATGACATTTGAGTTTCCACAACAAACGGGAATTCCAGTGTTTACATGAGTTTTTTCGACTCAGTTTTCAACAAATTAAGGCTTTTTATTTTACCATATTAGTTTTTGGAGTTAGTGGTACACATCAGTCGGTAAAATATATAAACTAGTTCACAAGTAAAAGTAGAACCGTGGTTGACAATTAACTGGATGGTGTTCCAGTCAAAAATTTCTGTTCATAATAATATCAAGTTACCTACATTGGACACTAGTAAATATTGTGATGTGTCTAGTCCTTTGTTCAGTGCAGATTGAATCTATCAGTCAGGTTTGCAGTATGGCCATCATTCTAGGTAGCTCGCCATTACGATGAACATTGATTTAATGATATAATATGGTTAGAGGTAATCGACAGTTTTCGTGCTAGTTGGCACTCATCAGTCAGCAAGGCGTATCTGCAACCTTGAAGGAACTCATATCCTTTTTGAGTGCCAACTAGGACGAAACCTAGGTGGAAGACTTCCTGCCGATTGCCTCCAACCATCTAGTATCATCAAGTTAGTCAACCAATGACCTGATATGATTTATGAGGAAATAAAATTATGATGAAATTTTTTTTATTTTTTTTTTTTATTTTTTTTATTTTTATGATGAAAGCATCTATCCAGTGAATTATACTGGATCACGATGAGTTATATCAAACGAATTTATTTAATATGGAATTAATTCATAAAAACTGAGGATTTTTAAAGGATTGAATTTAAATGGTTGGTTCATTCGTAAAATTAAAATCTTTCCTTTTACTAATAACTTAACTGTCGAAGTATTGTAAAAAAAAGCAAAAATTATTCTTGAAATCTGTTATATATGCAGTTTACGGTTGAAGTGGGTAATAATCTCAAGTAGATAATTTATCGTTGTAATTCAATAGATGCCGCAGTTCCAGGAGTGTTCACCAACACCTTTTTCTTATGACTCAATATGGGAATATTTCGTTCTTAAATTTAATTTTCGTTGAATAATCTATAACTCAGTCACAGATTCAAGGATTGCATACTAATTTTTGACAATGTAGATCACAACTAATCCTTTCATTGATACCTATTTGGTGATATTAAGAAGCTGACTTTTACTAAACTGTCAAAGTTAAACATTTCTACCTACGAATCATATATAAACAGCAATTGTTGTTGTAGTGTAACGCAATATGTCATATATTTATTCGCCGAATGTTGAATAATAAAATCACATGATTGATATATTTTTTCCACTGTATTGAAAGATGGTTGATAATAACGAAAGGAAATAAATATAAGTGTAATACTAAGCATAAAAATAATATTCTGATTTTGCTCCACGTAGACATAATTTAATATATATATATATCTCACAATCTGACAGTTTAAAAATCGTAGGACTGAGTAGTTAAACGTTTGACACAGCGTAAAAATGCCTTAAGCAATTCAGAGAACGGTGCAACAAAACACCATAATAATAATAATGATAATAGTAACAAAATTTTATTAAAATGAATTAAATACAAAATACTAACCCCATCTCCAAGATCACCACAATCGCTAAGCGTACCGAGAGATGCTGGAATAAATAAACGGAAAGTCAGGTAAAGAAATATTAGTCCCAGAGTAACGATTACATGTATATTTTCTTGTACATATAATCTTTTTAATTTATGTGTCAAATAAATCAATTCGAAAGCTTATAAGCCACTAACCATTCAGTTAAATCTTTAAGTTGTAGAATGCATTTGCACACATATACAGGCACCTTTAAATAGTTCCCAAACTAAGATTCACCACTTTTTTGGGGTATATAAGGTTCTTTGAAGTAGTGCAATACAACAAGATATGATAGTGTAGATTTTACCCGAAAACTTTGATAGAACCAGTGAACCTATATATATATATATATATATATGAATATCATGTGACGTAAATTTTACCACAAAGCATATGCAGTCATTATTAACGCACATAAGGAATGGATTATATGCATGAAATGACTGACTGACAGATGATTACTAATGCGCCTGTTCAGTGTTAAATATGCTGCACTAAGTTTGTTGGTCGAGATGATAAATCGACCAATTAGATACTGGATTACATACTTTACTATTTTTAGATATTTGGTAATAAGTGTGAAGTGAATTAAAACTAATCTATAGATTTTCATAACAATGATCTGTTTCCTCCATATGCATGATCTCATCAATGTACAAAAACTAATTGTAACAAAATATCAATGGAGAAAAAAATTCACTAAAGCTCCTGATGAAGCCAATTTTGTTAAATATACCGATGATCTCACTATTTCTATGCCAGTGGTTACTTCTCAGTCAGGCTGTTCCAAAATGAATAACTTTTTTTTCCAGAAATTAGTCAGTGTTCTTCGTCAAATGGTCTTACGCTTAGTCCCTCTAAATGTCAGGTGGTTAATTTCACTTTCAGACTCAAGTGCAACTTACATGAACTGGTTAGTTAGTTAGTTCACACGGTTCCGCTATCATGGATAGCACTGAAGTTAAAAACCAAATCAAATGTTAAATACCTTGGTCTTCCCACATCATGTTAATTTCCAGGAAGATATTTTGTTTGACGTTCTATTTAAGGAAGTTAAGATGATCTGGAATCATTCGGCCTCTACTGTTGCTGTTTCTCTTAATTCTTGTATTCTACCTATCGTTCTTTACTGCTCCCACCTAATCTTTCCCGGAATTATATTGCGTAGTGCGCTAAAGGCCGTCAGTAGGGCGAGTGGGTTGTTACTAAACCAGTTCGTTAATACTACTTTAGATAGACACATGGACACCTGGAAGAAATTAGCAAATTACCCAGCCAAACTTTGAAGGTGAGAAACACATTCATCAACCTGAAACCAATTTGGAAATCTTCATCACTCAGCATCAACAACAAAATTCAGTCGGATTTTCAATACAAACGTCAAGTCAGTCAGTTCTTCTATACGGACCAGAAACTTGGCGGGCGGATCACAAAGAATATTTCCAACAGCCTGTTGCAGACCTTTATCAACCAAAAACTGTCTTCGCTGGCTCTATATTGAAGATCAGATGGCTGGGCCGGAAAGAATCACCAACAAGAAACTATGGCTGGGAACAAACAAAACAAGAACCGATCGCCAACCAACAAATATGCAGGAAAAAAGTGGAGATGGATTGGACACTCGCTGGCTGAGGAGGCCGCTGGGTGACATCGCGCGCGCGTCAGGCCATTGCTCGAGTGGAACCCGAAAGAGAAGTGGCGAGCGGGACGTCAGTGCAAGGGTGACATGGAGGAGATCGTGTGAAGAGGAGTTGAGACAGTATGGACTAACATGGAGGGAGGTGAAAAGTACGGCAGAAAACAGAAGCAAGTGGAGACGTGCAGTTGAAGCCGTATGTTACACTAGGAACCCAAGGGAACAATAATAATAATAATCCACCCAGACTATGAACATCCTCTCCATACACAACTCTCTCCTTGCATTTCATCAGGTAGAGGAACTAGAAGTAACTATAGAAGACTCTATGCTCGGGCAACTAAGTACAAAAACTCTACGATGCCTTATTTAGCACACCTTTTATATAATGAGAAAAGGGTAAGACAGGGAATTCTTATTTCATTTTCACTTTTTATTGAACGGTATTATAAATGTAAATGCCCTATTTTAATTATTGCCTTTGTAATGAGAAAATTGGATGCAATATTGTATAACACGCTCAAAATTCCATATTTACACCGAAAGTACTGTTTGGAATAAAGCTACTATTATTATTATTATAACTTCTATCTGTTAAGTATACAGAATGTTCAGTTAAAGCATATTTCTGAAGGAATATTAATTAGAATTATATCGATCCAAGACACGTTACTAGTGGCATAAATACAGACGATTTTCTTATTCGTCAACTGTCCTACCTTATTCGTTTACATCGCCCTTATTCTTGCCATACTGATGTACTTTATCAAATTATGAAGAAAAATCAAAGTGATATGCTTTTTGTTGTTGTTGAAACTTTAAGATCATGCGGATTTAATTCGAATGACGAAACTGGTAAAATTATGATTATAGTTTTGAAAAAAATTGTCATAACACATCTATGATATCTTAAGAGGCTAAGGATATATAAAACGCAAAATAACAAAATATTGATATCGACTAACGTCTTTGTTGTTTACGATAATTCAACTGTCCTATCCCGCTAGCTCCAGATAATTGTACACTATTATTATGCTGAAATGAGGACACCGTATAACCGCTTGCTGTTGATCTAGTAGGAGACGGTTCACGACTTGCACCCTGGCTACGAGGAACACGTGAAGTTAAGCCAAAACGACTACGCTCTGCATTGTCCAATCCGATTCCACCATTACGGTTATTAGTGTAAGAATTTACTGGGACTTTTTGTGTGTCATTTGATGTGTTGTTTGATGCTGCGTTTCCAATGCCATAAGCAAAATAGGCTAGACGTGAAGGCGAGACTTCACGACTGGTAGCTAGGAGAAAAAGAAGACATAGTAAAAACAATGTGCAATGAAGGTAAAGTCTACTGATCATCATTACAACACTTCGATAAACAAAACGAACTTGAGAATGAAACACTAAAGTTAATAACTAGAGAAAGATTATTACCACTGGGCACTATCACATTGTTGTCTGGATTATGAGTGGTATTAGTTGTTGTCCCTGTGTTACTAGTACAATCAGAGGATGTTAACGAAATCATATCAAGTGACTGTGAGTCTTCATTCAGTTCTAGGAAATTCTCTCCAATATTTTGTTGTTGTCCGTATGATTGTTCAAACGATGCAGCATAATCAGGTAATATTCTCAATCCAGTTGGCACAGGGAAATTCGCTATCATACACTGACCGATCACACTTCTCATTTCATATAGCATATCCATCGATTTGACTAAGGCTAAATTACATTATGTGAACAAAACAAAATTTCTATTTAAAAACCAAAGTAAAAATAATCTAGTGTGGAGGATAGAACTGATTCAAAAATAAAACCAAAATAAGATCATAGGTTCATAGACTCAGTCAATTAGGTTCTGTCCAGTGTCTTCATGCGGCACAGTACGTCACCCAATGGTATACACGAAGAATCTACCTAAAGGGGGAGGTCAGAATCTGATTACAAACCAAATGAGCGCTAACCTCCAATGATGACACAAATGGTGGAGGAACCATTTTTGTTCTAGCAAACCAGTTGAAACATGTGTACTGCCTTGTGCATTAAACTCGGCGAGTGATTTTTGAAGACAAAGACCTGGGCGTTCACACAGTATCTCAGCCCTCACATGAAATATGAAAAGATAATTTAATTGTAAACCCATCTTTCGCAGTTGATACTTGATGGAGTATATATATATATATATATCGAACTCTCGAATAGTCATTATCACTGTCGCCACATAAATACACCTCAGTAACGTGTATATCATATGCACAATGGCTGAGTAATTTAATACTATGCAGTAGAATAAAACAAGCAATAAAGGAGCAACAAAAATGTGACATGTGACTAGTTATTATATATATATATATATATATATATATATAATATGCATTAATCAAACATACACCAGATAATCAGCTGATCATTTTTGACATGTATATATGCACAGCATAGTTTGAATAATAATAATTTCAAAAAAAAATAGTTCGTTGTGTAAAAGTAAATCATAAATGATCAATGCAATAAAACGAAGAACTATTATTATAATTACTAATTCAAGCACGTACACCAAGGGGACTTAAAAGTGATACAGTTAGAACAATAAGGTATTTGTAATTCTGAATTGCACTAAGGGTGAAAAGCCTAATACTAACTACTATGCACAGTAATAAAAAAATCTCATCATTATTTGATTTTCAACAATGCGAGCAGATATACTCATTGGAGATAAGATTGGAACTGTGTAGATATTACTTAATGTAATATAAAAACTTCACTCTAACGACTATTCAGACGGTGTATTTGAAAAATTAACTTACGTTGTGATTGTGAGACTAGTTTTTTTCCAGCCTGACGCGCTCGACCATCGTAACCAGAAACAACTGAACCCTGACGAACATAACGGCCAACTATAATAGGGTGAAAGGAAACATTGAAAGGAAAGTAAACACTGAATATATATATATATATATATCCTATATAAAAAAAAACTACATATATATCATGACTGCAATGGACCTTTTAATGAATGAAGCTTGTCAAGCTATATATTGATGACCATCTACAAGAATAAGAATTAAGTGAAATCTGAAGATCACGCTATAACACCAGTTTATCACGTCATCTGAGTTACAAGTTAAGAATACACGTCAAACAATTGAAATCGATTGTTTCTCAAATGGCTCAAAGGTAGATGACATCTAGGGGGCTAAATCCAAGATGAAGTGAGCTTGAAGGCTTGTCTATGAATATGTGCGTCAGTGGTCTGTCTGTCTGTTTTCGACATAGAACTTTGCACAAATGTGCGGAAGTTCAAGTGGTACAGAGGTTAGGACTCTCGTCGACCATCCACATGGTCTGGATTTTGATCCCCTATCGACACACACCTGATATCCACGGTTGGCCTGCAAAATTTGGGCTACTTCTATCACATACTGAAAATCCCATACTTGTACCAAAAATACGGTGTTGAATCAAGCTATAATCAAAGTGAAAAATTAAAAAATAAAAACCGTCTCTTCAGATGAACTTGAATGTGACTGGTTGTCTACGGAGATTTTCTTATTCTCTTGTTCACAACTAATAGTATTGATTATATTGTTGACGTGGTATTTAATTTTTATCCATGTGACTTATTTTTCACTGCTTGATTTATTTTACCCATATCAATATTTGTTGATTAGAAATTGGTATGAGTACCGAGCTTTTTAGGAATTCCCTGATATTCTTGGTGTTTCCTTTCTCCACGAATCGTACATTTTCCTAGGACAAACTTTCAGAAAAATAGATATCAACGGAACTTTACATCAGAAGATGCCAACTTTCACTTCCAAACGATAAAGTCAGTCAGCCAAAGAAAGCATTTAAAAAAAACTGTGATGCCACAAATGAACAACATTTCTGAAATCACTGCCATACTACTGAAACCATCTGGGCTAAATTTCACCCAAAAGTCAACAAAGTCCCTTCAGCCTGCATTATGTTAGTCAAAAGATGCAACAGCAAAAGAATACAGAACCAACGTCGTCTACAAGATAAATTACAGCAGCTGTGAGAAACAGTAAACTGATCATCAAAATAAACGTTGTGTTCGTCTTCGCATCCATGAATATAACTTGTTTGTCATAAGAGATGATAATCATCCCCTTATGTCAATGCATTTAGATAACTACAACCAGCTATTCCTATTCGTCTTCAACTTATGTCGTTTATAAAGGCAATGAAAGCTACGCAATTATCATGCAGCTCCACCTTGAGCTAAAAATCTTCTCCATCATTTCTATATCGATTTTATTCATCTTCCCTATTACCGTCACCTGTCATACTGAAGAGAATGTATCAAAACAACATCGGTATTACATTTCACATTGATGTAATGAGGGATGATTTGAAAGTGGTATAAAAGTCAAGGTGGTTACAGAACTCGAATCAGCGGCACATTGATTCGCCAGGTGAATATGAATGCTATAGTACATTACTCTAACATTATCATCACACCAGTAAATCAGAAGTCAATGAGACTTTCATCTTACCTTCAATTATCACCTACCACATCAATCCAAGATTATTTCAGATTGTTTCACAGTCAATTATAAAACTATTTTTATTCATCTTTTCATATTCCAACAGCCTAAGAACACTAAGATAGGTCAAATAACTAAGAGAATTACTGTAATTAATACAAATACATTATCCTTGTACACTAACAGTAAATGCATAAAGTCCTATCACAAAAGAAATGTAGCCAGTACAGTAAGAGAATCACGAATTTGTCTCCATAGCACAGTTAAAACTTCAAAAGTTATGAAGTATTAACAAGCTCATTTTGATGTAGACGGGTCGTTTCTTTGAGTGGAAAATAAAAAACTGGACTATATACATGCATTCCAAAAATACAATGGAGGAACCAGAGAAATTTGATACGTGGAAGTAATTTCGTGAGTAAATCTGCATAGAATACGACCCAGTATTAATACCATTCTGATGTAACGGATAAACTTTAATCAGCATGACTTCACTAATTTTTGATAGTGAGAAATATTCCCATATTATGAATTAAAAGTCAATATATACCCTAACCATTGTCTCCTGTTTTACAATATTTTGTAATCAATTTCAGCCAACTAGCACGTTTGTCACATAAATACGACTACTTATTTTGACACCCCATAACCACTAATCTGTTATTCTACGTTAAAAAAAAGTATCCGCCACCGCATAACTGCCCTTTATTGTAACGACAACAAATATTATATTTTATAGTTGTAAGAACCTGAAGAGAAATTATTGAAAAGAATATTCTTCGTTCAGATTGACTTCACTAATTTTGCTTGGCAGTACTTTTCGCAACCTTTTTCATCATAATTCAGTTGTCTTTGAATATTACGATGCATAATAATACATACAAATGATTCCAATGAGAGATGAAAAACAGAATTCCGATACTAACCTGTGTTAAATTCATTCTGATTAGTCAGAGGTGGACGAATACGATTTGTGTTATTCGCCAATGAACTGGTGCCTAACACAGGTCGAGCTGGTCTTCGAGTGCTTTGATTTGCCAAATTCGATTGACTGCCTAATTGACTTCTAGATGATGTTGTATCCGCAGAATTGATGAAATCTGATAATCCTGCTGCAATTAAATCTTTCTCGATGAGTTTACGCTTCTGAGCATCAAGATTTTGTAAAAATGTGTTAGCTTGTTCAGGGAATTTGGTAACAAATGACGGAAATGCACTATTTGGAAATATAAAGAGGAAAATAAGTGTGACATGAGAAAGAGAGAATAACCATCAAAAAAACAACAAAAATATTGGAATTTATCTAGAATGATGGTTGTCAGGAAAAGTATAAAAATGTATGCAAAACGTTTCCCTGCACTAGTTATACGATGGACACTTAAGATTCTAGTAATGCATAACGACGCATAGCATAAACACGGGTTATAGCTGTTTAGTCAGGAAACGGTTAAGAGGCAAAAAATAAGAAGCAAAAAAAAAAACACTTTAGTTTATTGATTTAAACATTTGACTACAAATTAAGGCGAACACACTTTTTTCAAAACAAGTTACTGTTCAATTCACAATAATTAGATCAGATAACACAGTCTAGTCTAGGTATGATGGAGATTTGTAGCTCAGGTAGATGATTTTATATGTGATTGTGTTTTCTGAGCTGGATAGTTTATTTGCGGAGCTTTCATTGCCCTACACAGGCGACATCTTCAGCGCATACTTCAATTTGCTGAAGTGAGCTTTTAGATTTCTCAACGAGTTTATTGGTCATCTCTCCCAGTGTGTGACGCTAGACGTGATTGGTTGTTTTTGTGTGTTTTCACACCCTCTAGGCTACTTGTCTACTACCAGGCTACAGTCTAGTTTACTACCTTGCTACGAAAATGACGATGATAGTTGTGACTATTCCCCGACAGATTACGACCTATATTTTATTTACCGTTATCACTGTAACAAATATGGACATCAATATGAAACAAACCAATTGTTAACTGATAACAAAGAATAGATTCTAGTAAGAGGGTTATACGTCGGTGGCACAGTGGTTAGGACTCTCGCCGATCACGCACATGGTCCGAGGTTCGATCCCCTGCTGACGCACACCTGATATCTATGGTCGACCTGCGAAATTTGGGCTACAGATATCCATGCTGAAAATTCCATACTTGTACGAAAAATACAGTGTGGAATCAAGCTGTAATCAAAAATAAAATAATAAAAATAAATAAATATCCCTGAAATGAAATGTATGCTGAATTGGACGTCTAGAAGCATTCGAGACAAAAAGCTGCATTACAATAATGCGCTTACAGAGACATTTATCACCTGGTCGATAGTTGAAGACTTCTGATGAACAGAAAATGAATGAACAGCTTATCATTCACTGTAGTATCGCACCACTCTAAACCACTTTAAAGCACATATGAAGAGTTCATCCACTAAAAATATATTTTTCCTTGAAGTCGCACCTACTACTCACTAATAAGGGGTAGCAAGCAATAGGCCCGTATACTGTATATACAACCGTATACAGCATGTTTTGAAAAATTATAATACTTTTTTAATTCTGCTTACAACAGCATTGTATGCCCTTCCATATTCTTCCAAAGCTAACTTCGTTAAATAATAAACCGATGATCTTGCTATGTCTGTCTCAGTAGTTTCTGTTTTGGATTGTTCTTATATGAATAAATAATTGTCTGAAATTGACAGGTGGTCTCATTTAAATGGTCTTAAATTAAATCTATCCGTCATATTGTTGGTTTTAGTTTCAGATGAGAGCAAGACTTGCGTCGACTGATTCAATCTCATAATTCCTGTAATACAGACGGTACTGTGATAGGGGATGAATCGAATATCTCTCATTTCAGTATCAGTTTCTCTTCGAATCTCTGTTGGTCGTCTCACATCCAGCTGATTTCTAAGAAAATTCTTCCGTTTAACTTGTTACATAAAGAAGTTGAGACTTTCTGCTTGCATAACTCAACCTCTTCATGTATTCTGCTCATTCTCCTTTATTGTTAGCCATTATTCTTCCCTGAACTTCTCAAAAAAGACTTTGTCATATTACGTAGAACGCTGAAAGTTGTGAGTAGGGTTAATGGTGTACCTTTGACTCAGCCAATTGACATTATTGTCGATAGACACTTCAATTCTTGCAAGCAAATAAACCGTTCAATTCAGAGGACACAATCATATCGAAAAAAAGGGAAAAAATACCCATTATGTCTTTCGACTCACCGACGAGAAAATGATCGAGCTTCTTGATCTGCATCTGATATACCTCGTTTTAAAGCATCTTGTAGTGTTGTCAAGTTTTTTTCAAGAATATTCACAGGCCAAGTTGTAAAAATGATTTCTAAAAATTCGCAAATGCATCTACAAAAAAATAATTTGAACAAATAAATTATGAAGTGACTTAAATAGTTTGGCGAAAGAAAAGACAAAACGAGAATTGTCACATACGGTGTGATAAATACACAGTAACTAATTAATAATATGCACATCTTCGGTGACACCCCCGCAGCAAATGACAGACCACAGAACCACCTCGAGTAGAACACTGTTTGTCATTAAAAATCAGATAACGGAAGTGGAAGATGTGAAAAGGTTAGCTGTCTTTGATCATAGGTGCCTGCGTTCTATCTCTCGTGTTAAATGGTATAGTAGGTTAGGTGTCGAGTGCTAGGTAAGGAGGGGAAATCATTCGACGAGGTTGTGAAGCTATACCGATTGAAATGGTTAGGACATGTGTTACGTACGCCTAGTTATCGCCTTCCTCGACAATGGGCAATGTTAGCTGACATATAGTCAAGTTAGAAAAGAGCTAGCGGCGGTCCAACCGAAACATGTCATCAGTCAATGAAATCTACAACAGTTAGTCTAAGCCACGTAGGAAGGTGTAGACTTCCTGGGTGATTGGGGTCCTCGGCATGGTATAAACCAACGAAGGCTGGAGACAATTGGTGATATGACTCAAAATCGTTCCCAATGGCGGGGATGCATCCATTCTTCATGATTTATAATATCCAATAAAAATTCTATTGTTATTCAACATAACTATTCTTTTTTCCTCACCCACATTTCTGTTTATTACCTATCTTTTGAAGCTCTCTTAACTATCTTCTCTTGCTTTGTGCTACGTGGAGTGTGGCAACTCGAAATGCTGCACACCTGTGGAAAGTTTTACGTTGAAAGCGATCAGTCAGTCATATAACGACAAACAACTAGAATATTCGATACTTCGTTTTTTAAAATCTCTTTTGTCTTTGTAGAACTTCGCATACTTAGTCTTGATAGAAAGTAAACAATCCAGAGCTTCGGAAACTTGAGCATGTTCTACGTGCATTATTCTCCTGAGACTTTCGTACCGTTTACTACTTAAAGATAGTGAGGCTGATAAAGGGCGAAGGAAAATTCCTCAATGTATGATATGATGACATTATTATAAGTATAATTGGATTAGTTAGTTTAGTGTCCCATGGATTGTTCAAACAAGGTCCGAGAAGGTGTATACATTTAATTTAAGGTCAAACTACAATTTTAATGAGAAGGAAATCGATATTTGGTCAAAATTATTTTAGTTGATCAATTTTTTGTTGTACAGCTAGCTTTAGTAATGTTTTTTGTTTTGTCATTTTATTGAGTCTGAATGTTTGTTTTTGTTAAAACTGTTGCGACGTTAAGATACTTTCCTTTGTACACAGGTTAACTTGGAATGGTCTTGTTTCAACACTATGGTAAATTTCCTTAGTCTGATTTTCAGCAATTGCTTTACATTTCTTTTTTCATTTCACTGTGTTCCTATTAGAACATACGGATTTAAATCTGAGTTTTGGTGTTTCAGTAAGGGTGACGATGTTTTTACGGGTTGGGTTGCTGGCCTCGGGCTTAACCTTTCCTCCTTAACGAGGCTTATTACTGTCTGTCTGTTTTCGACATAGAACTTTGCACAAATGTGCGGAAGTTCAAGTCGCCACATTCCGTGTAGCACGCGAAGCAAGAGAAGAAAGTACAAGAAAAGCATAATACTTATTACTGGTCAAGGGAATTTTAGCAGTGCATCAGCCGAGAATCGAACTCGGACTATATGGTGTGCTTGGCGAGCAGTCTACCATCGATTCACCGATGCATCGCTTTGATATTGGATGGTTCTTTTTGTGTTTTATATATGTTGAACTTTTGAAGTGTGTGACCGAAATGATTTAGCTTTTTTGATAATAAACATAACTAGATGATTTCTCGTGAGCAATTAGAATTCCATGGAGCTTTCTTACAATAATGAAAGAGTTGAAAATTTGTATTCTGTTAATACATTCTTGTATTAAGCTATTCTTATTCCTACTGCTCATAATTTGAGCTACCTGTAAAATTATCTCCATAGTAGTCATTTGTATCCATATGTCATTTAAACACTCCTAATGGATTTGATCAAAGTAAGAACTAAATACATCTGACAATTTGGTATAAAATTTTTTGAAATTTTCAAATGCTTACGCACAATTTCATTTCTGTAAGACAAACACACTTCCACTGTCCGTAAAAGTGGATCACAAACTCATCAAAGTTTCAGGAATAATATTCAGCCTTGAATAATGCTGTTGTTGTTTAAAAATGAGTAATGGGATCGATTGTTAATACTGTATATCGCAGTATAGCTTTTTATGTTATCTGCTTGCTTTAGTCTCTGGCAAAACTAGTTCTCTAGAGTGAGTTGACGTGATACATTGCCAAGTTTTATTTATTACCATTTTTTTACTTTACGTTCCCAGTGGAACATAGAGCTTCAAGATACAGGCTTGGAATTTCGGTAGCAGTGGTGTTTATTTTTACAGGATGGGGTTGCTAGCCTCATGCCCAACCTACCCTCTTTACCAGTCACATTACTGGCTTAGCGAAGTAAAGGAGTGCGCCGGCCGGGGATCGAACCCGGGCCATATGCGTGGTTGGCGAGCATTCTATCGCTGTGCCACCGATGCACCACATTGCCAAGTAGTTTCAAACTATTCATACAAGTTGGAGTATATAATATTATGATGGACATAGTAGTATTTACAGTGCTATTCAAATTTTTATTTCAAAGCTGGACTTTGCAGACATATTTCTTTTCACGTGCTGACAACTAATACAATTACTAAGAGAGAAAGACTACAACATTAACAATAAAAATGAATGAAAAAAAATCAATGTTTGATATCATCTATTCTATAGCCTTAAAGTATTTTTTTACTAAAGATATTTGATAAATTGACTCACTTTCTAGTAATATTAGATTTTGACGATAATGAAGATATAAGGATAGGAAGAAGTCGGGGGGAACATGTATTCTGTAAACATATAAAATAAAAACATTTTTTTGAAAACGTCTGTCACCAGAAAGACATTTTAACACCAGAAAACTCTTTCTTTTCATCAAAAGAGAATCATAACAAATTTAAAAACGATTTTTAAAAATATGAACTGTGAAATCAGTTATCAGATTATAAAAGAGGCAATGAAAGGTGTCTTGAGCAGTGTATACGCACGACTTTATACATAGAGAGTCAAACGTTTCTAATCTTAGGGTGCAAACGACCGTGCTGTTCTCTTGTTCATGACTTAGTTGAACGAAAACTTAGTGTTTAAATACAATCTCCAAATATTCAAGTCAATATTATTTGGTGACTACCCTGGAGTTCAACTTTCCAGCTGAGATCAGTAATAATTTTCTTTATTTGATGATCATCACGACTATATGGTTAGCATGATTGAAGCAGTAGGACTTTGTATACCTGTAATGAATTTCCATCAAGTGATAAGAGAGCAACAGTTACATCTGACTGCCTGTCATTATTCAAAATTCCTTACTGAGATTAGGATAAATTAGAGAACTATACAAAGACGATCTGGATATCACTTATATTTACTGTCGGTGTGACTGACAGTGCATAAAGTGAACGCTTTACTGGATTAGATTAAATGCCGCCGGTGTCAACATGCATAGATTATTAATAACCAGCAATGTAGCTAATTTGAAGAGTCTGTAAAGTGATGGATATTATTCGCTGACTATATATGTCACATGATTTAAAAAATAGTTGATACAGTATTACAGTTCTGCTGGACATTTCTTTATTCGACGTTTAATTACTCCATGTCCTTCAGTATCTGATTTCTTTCGCGAGATTGTATCGAATTGTAACAAATACTCAAATATATCTCTGTTGATATTATTGAACCATTTAAACTCAACTCAACTGTAATTAACAGATTTCAATACACTAACGACACTGTAAACAGATGATGCTTTTAAGAAAATGAAATTACTTGGAAACCCCTAAATTTAGTTGGTACATTATGCCCTAAATGCAATAATCGACGATTCGGTAAGAGTAAAGCTGATATACAGAAGCAAAACATGGTTGAGTATAAAATGTTTGAAGTCCTGAAGAAAAATGACGATTCCTTATGTTAAAGAGATGCTTTTAATAAAGAAAGAAATAACGACAAACAGTGCAGTAGTGTAGAGTATTACTATTGTATGTCAGTGAGTTGCTGAGAACCATAACGAGAGAAAAACGGAAAATGAACTAGGAGGAATCGACTGCAGGAGAAACACAGTCGATGCAGAAAAAAAGAAGCTAAATGTTAAAAAAAAGAAGGAAAATGAAGAATAACAAACCTATCTGAGTCATTGCGGTTATTGTTTGACTTTACTAAACACGTTAAATAACTTTTTTCGTATACATGAAAATGTACGTAGGCACACACGCACACACGAATGCATGTTTTTTCTCCAAAACTTTGGAACAACAAATTATCTTGGCACCAAAAGTGTGAGAGCTTGTTTTTTTAAACATTATAGTATGATTCACAACTCTGAAGCTTCAAAGTAGTGAATACAGATATATTTCAAATTCAAAATAGTTAAATATAATGAGCAATGAAACATATTTTCTCGGTGATAACTTCTAATACGTTTTATGTTCTATTTAACTGTTTCTAACGTTAGACCAAAATTCTAGTGAGGTTCCGACATCTATGATTCCACAAGCATCACACAAATAATACCAATGTTTCACTAAAAGCCAGTAATGCACCAGAAGATGTGGATCCATGCGGTAGGTTAGATCGGCAGCGAAGAAGATCGAAAGTACCAGTGATTTTCTGTACAACCTACTGATTTCTGTTGTATTCACGTCACAAGAAATACATTTTAGGAAATAATGAAATATTTTGAGCACTGCTGGTTATGATCTGGTGCTCTACAAATTAGTTCTTCGAGGGAGGGGGGCGGGGAATTAGTGAAACTGACACAGGCAGAATGCTTTTAGAAGTTCATAAATTTTACAACACCCCTTCTCAGAAGGGAAGAAAGCTTATTTGAGTCCGTTCCATAATTTGATCTCCAGATAACCACAATGCAATGTGGTAGTCTACAAAAAAATCCGCCATGACAGTAAAAACTCACATGTACTGTTATTGATCCACTAGATATAAAGCATAAAACTAAACCATGATTTTGAGAAAAGGAAAAAGAGAGGTTAAATCATACATCTACAACTGAAACTTCACTTACCTCGAGAATAAATCGCATGGCAACTATTCCACTAGTTGCCATAACTTTGGCGCAATTTGACATTAATGATATAATCGTCTGCAAAACGCCTTCAGCGAAACGATCAAAACGATTACGAATTTCTTGTGATAAAAAGCTACCGGTAAGGAAATACAAGAGAAATCTGGCTAAGACACTGAATTCATTTATAGCAAGCAGAATAATATCTTAATTCAAACATGTTATTCAACTGGAAGACAATCAAAACCGAAAAATTCCTAAAATAACACTCAGAAATCAGTTATGCATTAATTCAGGATGATAACAGCGTAGAGTAACCACCAAAAATTCTCCAATTACGGTAAAATATCCACCTGTTTCTCTAATTTTCTCTCGCTCTCTCTCACACACACACGCACGACGTTTCACTTCATTCGGTTAGAGTAAAAACAACTATCATTTGGTTAGCAGTGACATTGAAGCATTAAAAATAAGATTTGAGCTACTCAATTTCTAAAGCTACTAGTACAACTAGTGTGATGTATTTTAAATATAAATAGCATAGAGTGACGCCCTAACGGAAGCAGTGATGATTTGTGTCAATGAGAAAGTCATTGAGGAAGAAATACTAGGTTAAAACTCTCTAAAGCTATTAAGCAACCAATGACAAACAAACACAGCATGTCTACTAGAGAATGAGTGATATTATTCGCAAATTGTGAAATCGATGTGAAGTTAGAGATTCCATTAACGTCTATTGTTATTTATTGCAATAAACATAAGATGTGCACAAACTCGTTTTGCTCCCTTCACTAGAACTGCTTTTTATTGTGATAATGTGTCACGTGGGATAAATCACTGAGGTAGGATACAATTACATTTGTAGAAGGCGATAAACACAACACCTTGTCATCTGATATTGTAATGCGAATCTTTATAAATTCAACGACATTATGTAAGAGGGTGGTGACTTTAACTCAACTATCAAATATGCCCTTATATAACACTGATTTTTATTTATCTGTAGGAAACATTCCTATAAACTACATATATTGAATTTATAGTTACAACTTACGCAACTGTTATACAAGCTTCTCGTACAACTGAGGATCTCAAATCGCGCAAAGAAAGATCAACTGGACTCTCTAGTGTTTTCAGTAAGGTGAAAAATTCTTCGTATTGTAGTGCACCATTTGCAACAACAGCACGTAACATTTTCAGCTGAAAAATATGATGAATATAATGAAAAGAGGGAAAGGAAACATGAAAACGAAAACACCTTGGTTCAAATGTTAATAAGGATTCGGAGACTACTGGTAAAGTTTAGATTGTGATTATATTACCGCACTTTATTATGATTTGAATAGTGCTGGAAACATCAGTCATTGAAATTAAACACAATAAACTAAAGGATTTATTTTTTATTATTGTAATGCTGACTGACTTGAAGTCAGATATCAAGGTATGTGTGTGAGTGCATAAGCTGTGCTTAATAATCTTATATATTCAACTGCTGTACATAACTACTTTTGCCAGTATAGAAAACAGTTTTAACTCATCAGAAACAAAACCAAAACGAAAAGTATTAAAATTACCGCGTCAACACGTTTTTCCCATTCTTCAGGATTACCAGTAAGTGTATCTTTTATACGATTTATAATTTCATTGAGCTCTTTAACAGATGAAGCCTAGTATGGATAAAATGACGTATTAGTAAAAAAATTATTCTTACTGAAATTGACATAGATGGTATGAAAGACTGTCGAAATACTTCTTCATCCACAGCACCAGCACCTAAAAAGATAAAGTATTATTAAAAACTTCTGCGCTGTCGAAATAGTGAAAAACAAACAAACAAAATAAATTTTTTTTTAAACAACAGAAAACCGAAGGTAAAAAACGGAATCATAAGCTTGACAGAACACACATCAATACCTGATGATGATCTAGATCTTGATTTATTGATACGTCGGACTTTATTTACTAAATCACACTGTTGAAGAACACCATCACCACCGCCACCACGCTGCTAATACACAACAGTAGTGGTGGTTATTTTCACCAAGTAAAATAAAAACAATCAAAAATGCATATAAATGTGGTAAATACTATTTCAAAAAAATTTTTGTTGAGAAATGTGCACAAATGAATTATGTAGTTATGAGGTGAGACAAATGTACAACATCAAAGGATTATAGGACAAGACTACCTTGGGTATCACCAGTGGAGCGTTTCCGCACAGATGTCCCACCTGGAGATTATAGTGTACAAGAGGTGGAAAGTAGTGATGAAATCAATTTTTAAAACTATGAAAATAAATCACAGCAAACATTCATATTCTTACACTACTCATTCAGTGGCCCTAAATGTATGCATCGAGAACCAAACGGCAAAATTACAGTAGTATGCGAAACCAGATGATTATAACGTAAAAAATGCATACCTGTGACTGAAGAGCTTTTGGATAAAGTAGGTTTGCGTTCGATGCCATCAGCAGCAAAGTTGGACATAGCAGTTGTCTCAATAACAGGATAATCTGAAAAATATGAATAAATAAAGAATTGTGACGATCACTAGAAAAGGTGAGACTGACTGAGTTTTAACGTAGAACTACGCATAAAAGTGTAGTAGTTCAAGCTGCTATACTCTATACAGTATGTAAAGTGAGAGAAAGAAAAAATCAAAAGAAGTATGATGAGCAGAAACGTACGGGAGAAGAGATGACACAAAAAAGATGAGCGCTTAGTCGATCTGAGAAATTATAAAGAGTAAATGCATCTGCGCCATTGGGAATGGTTCTGAACCAAATCATCAACAGTCTACGACCATTCTTAGCGTCTCGACGGCCCCAACCAGACAGTTTACACCTCCTTAAGTGGCCCCAAACAATGAACAAATACATCATAGATTAGTGCAACATCTTCATCCTACCATTCCGAACTCTTTTCCAACCTATTTCCATATCAGCTAACAATACTCCACGAGGAAGGTGATGCCTTGGCATGCTTAACGCGTGCCCTAAGTATTTCAATCGATGTGGCTTCACAACCTCGTCTATTGACCTCCTCTCTCTACCTAACGTTCGATGACTAACCTCAATATTAATCACTCTAATATACCCCCTAACATGGGAGATAGGATAACTGATATCACGTCTACACGAAAGACGATGCGAGATGACAATTGCAACACGAGTCTTTTCTCTCCACAATGAAACTTCATGAGCAGTCAATTCATTAAGGTCGACACGGCTTTTTCAAAAAGTGAAACGGTCAACATTTAACTACTTCAATGCCTATTTTGAAACCAGAAGCCGATGCAGACTAGTCCTGCAACATCATCTTACATTTGACAGGGGAGAATCCCGTGTCAAATATATCATGACTGCTGCTTAACTTGTTCAAAACACTGCATTTTGTCAGCATCACTCAGAAAGATAATATTATCCGCATATTCTAAATCGACAAAACCATTCTCTAGTAGTAAGTCAGTTTTCCATAAGCTACAATAGTTCAGTGTCACATCCGGCAGCACATCTATGGTGAAACTGAACAAAAATGGAGACAATGGGCATCCCTGGAGGACAGCATTGGTTGTCATCTCTTCAGATGACAACTCTTACACTACTGTCTAAGGTATTAGAAAAGATAATGTATATTCGGGTTCGTAGACTAGAATTTATAACTGAGAAAAATAAGGCATCAGCAAAGATGCTCACCATTCAAAAGCATAAAGAATATTGAAACGGATAAATATGCACGCATGAAACAAAACAAGAACAAGTACATGCATGTGCATGCCACAAAGTCTAAATTGTGCATACAACCTATTTAGACTGATGTCCTAAATACTAAACAGTGGCCACCGGATACACACACAACAGTCTACTTTGGCAATCTCATGGGCTTTCAAGGAATGATTTAGCCTACTATGAAATGAATTCATGTTTGGTGTTATTGAGATGATGAAACTAAGTTTCATGTGCTAACCATCAATAAGTAACGTTTCCCAACGAGTTGTATTTTAACTACAAAAAATGTTTTCTGTCATTTTTGAGGGACCGCTTAAGGAGTTTTGTATAAAATTGTTTTCTTATATTTCAGCCTACAAAGAAGAGCTATATCTATAGACTTAGATTTCCCGAAAAGTCTATGATTGAGGAAGTAAGTCTTTGAACAGTGGTCATGAAAAGTCTGACTGACACAGGACATCAGGTAGACACATTAAATTCTTTCAAAATGATAAATAATCAAGCTCGAGTCTCTTAGAGTTCATAAAGGCCATCGTTATCAATCGACTAAAACCTCGCTCGTGTATTCATAAGGGTGAAGTAAGTCTTTCTCTACCATGGTAACTAGTCTATAACCTTATTTGACTATACCATCTTTTAATAAACGCGAATGTTGGTTCCTTTTTCTGCCTTAGAAACCCTTTTTTGACCTTAATTGATGACACCATCATTTGCCTAGTTACGTCATGATTTGGTAAGCGTTATAATTTACACGTGTGGTGTCTAAATAAATGAGTTTGACTCACAAATTTTACATCTGCACTAACAATTTTCTAACGACTTACATAATCTCGATATCTTGTTGCTACTCTTGCTCCCCATTTTCATTTTATTCGAGTAACCTCGACCATATTACTCATATAGATATAGCAATTTTACTAACAATATTCGGCATGCGATTCGCTCCCGCCAAATGCAAGATGATGTTATAGGACTGGACTACACCGACTCCTAGATTAGAAATAGGGAGTGAAGTGGTAGAGCACGTTGACCGATTCACTTATTTGGGAAGTACCATCAGCCAACGGCAACGGGTTGATCTCTGACGAAATCTCAGCACGGATACAGAGGGCTAGTTTCGCATATGCCAGTTTACGTTGTCTCTGGCGTAGACGTGATATCCGACTATCGACCAAAGGGCGAGTGTACTGCTGATTAGTCCGTTCCGTCCTCCTTTATGGCTGTGAGACCTGGCCATTGAGAGTGGAAGACATGAAAAGACTAGCTGTCTTTGATCATAGGTGACTGCGTTCTATCTCTCGTGTGAAGTGGTATATAATAAGGTGAGCAATATTGAGGCTAGGCTTTAGTTGAGTACTAGGTAAGGAGGGGAAATCATTCGACGAGGTTGTGAAGCTATACCGATTGAAATGGTTAGGACATGTGTTACGTATGCCTAGTCATCGCTTTCCTCGACAATAGGCAATGTTAGCTGATATATGGTCAGGCTGGAAAAGAGCTAGCGGAGGACAAACAAAAACATGGCATCAGTCAATAAAATCTACAACAGTTAGCCTAAGCCACGTAGGAAGGTGTAGACTTCCTGGTTGTGGTCCTCGGGACGGTAAAAACCAATGGTTGGAAACAATTGGTAACATGGCTCAAAATCGTCGGTGGCACTGTGGTTAGGACTCTCGCCGATCATGCACATGGTCCGGGGTTCGAGCCCACGCCGGCGCACACCTGATATCTATGGTCGGCCTGCAAAATTTGGGCTACCGATATCCATGCTGAAAATTCCATACTTGTACCAAAAATTGCAGTGTGGAATCAAGCTGTAAATCAAAAATCAAAAAAAGAAATCAAATCGTTCTCAATGGCTGTCGCAGATGCATCCACTCCTTGTGACTTATGATTTCCAATGAAACTGTTTTGTTCTTCGTTACTACTATTCCTATGTCTCACACCTCTGTTTACTGTCTCTATTATGCTTTTTTTTCTACTTTCTTCTCTTGCTTTGTGTGCTACATGGAGTGAGGCGACTTGAACTGCCGCACATATGTCGAAAACAGAGACAGACATTTGATTCACCTATTTACACTGATCATTTTCGATGATCATTACACACTTTATCTGTAATGAAATAAAGTATGTTGAAACTAAAACAAAACTATTAAATTTTGATTATTTAGGCTGTATGCAACTGCCCAGATACCGACAAAATAAAGAATATATCCGTTTTATCTTGCACGCTGAGTAATTAATGTTTTGTTCAAAGTGGAATTCGTGTATTGAAATTTATTAAAAAATAATGTGACGAAGCTGTTTTTCAGGCATGGCCTCTCTTTTTGTACACTTGTAGTAAAATCTGCAAGATATGTATATAGTGCAGTAAATTAGAAATTTCAAATCATGACAGATATGAATCACTTTCATTGAACAATCGTCCAGTTCAATGGTAAATACACATCCATGCAATAAATAAATGATGGCAGCACGAAAAAGATATGAGCCCTAGTTCAAAAAAGCAAATGTCATTGGATGAAAATATGCCTTGTAAACTAAAGAACTGTCATTAGAGCTCTAAAACAATACCAAGTTGAAAATAGTGTATCAGTTTAAGAGCTGTTTATTCTCTACCTTGCAATACTATTTTCTAGATTTATGTAGAGTCTACTGGTACTATTTGGCAACCTAAACGTCTTTAACCATGTGCTCACTCAAAATATTCAGGAAGAATTATTTTAAAACTGTAAAAATCAGTGTATATCAGTGGTAATATGCCTGACATATAGACTAAGAATGGACGTGTTACTCTCTCGGTATCAAAAGGAAGTGACTCGTGATTCTCCGATGTCTCATGAGGTGCCAGATTTACCAAAGAAGTGGAAGATTTTATCCTTAGCTGTGGTTGCAAAATTGTAGTAAACGGAGTCAGACTTTATCAGTTAAGTAAATATGTAATTATTACTTAAGGTATAACTCAGTATACCTCAGTAAAAAACCTATAATGACAAAAAAGTATCTAGTCGAACTTCAACGCGTGATATGAACAGGAATTACGGGATATAATACGTCGACGTCAGATTTGCTACATTTCCATCGTTTGTTAGACTAATTCGTAAATGCTAGCATCCTATTCGCCGCATAGACAAAGGAACTATAACAATGTGTGTGTGTTCATAGTTTTTTGAACATCACTCACGTGTAGCAGTCCCAATGGCCACACAATAGAATAGTATCTTGTTATTTTGGAGGACATCTAATGGTCTAATGTTTAGACCACTGTGCTAATACTGGTAAAGCTACTGAATGAATATTATTTTTAAGGGCACTGGCATCAGTCTAAATGATTCAGAACAAAGAAAAGTATATTTCACTATCCGATGATAAATAATGGATTTTATAAACTAATTTATCGACGGGAAAACGCAGAACTCGGTATAGAAGTATATTAATTCGAACTTGATACATCTTGTAGATGCACACAAAGAGAGCAGATTAAAATCAAGGTGAACAAGAAAATTCCAAACAACACAACTATTCATTTCACCTCACCATTTTGGGTTGATTAACACTTAGCTTCCTCCAATCAGTCCTATAGCCAGCAGAGTGGATGGTACGAGTCTTTGAAATGACATGAGTAGCTCATGTTCACATGGCGTCAGCGTCCTATGATGACATCATGTTACGATATGATCTCTACCACAACAAGACAAACGACCGAACTTCAAAAATATTTACACCGACATCACCAAGCCAGACCACTCCTAAAGATAGCGACGCAACGTCTACACACACCCCACTTTGGAGAGTTTAGGCTTAACATACGTATATCAAAACTATTCGATCACACCTTTGGCGACCAGAGTAACCAGAGATAGAGCCGAAACTGATCCACACTGCGGTTTGCCACCCTAGCTTACCCCATATAGCAAATTTTATCCATCACACCGCTTGGCAATCACACAAATGCCTAAATAAATGGGATTTTCACTTAATTTTATCGGCTTACAGAACCCTGTTAGTCTTGCAACAATATTTCGCATTTGTAAAATGCACAACATATACACAGACACGTATATCTTTATTGGTTGACTTTACTGAAGAACATTATCTTCACGGACAGTGTTAAGTGAGGAAACGTTAGATCAAGAGATGGTGGTAACGCAGAAATAGTTCACAGATGTTACGACTTCTAGGTAAACGTTACTTATGTATTGTTGGGTACAGAGAATCCAAGCGTTTACTTCTTGTGGTAACCCCCAAAATTGTTAATAAGAGTGCGCATATAAGCTTTTCGGGACTGTGAATATTCTTACTGGCCCTCGTTCTGTCTGGGATCACAAAATGTAACTAAGGAAACTCTTGTGCCATTGCGTAAGGTTCTACCTAAATGTACCTGTCTGTCAGATTCAATTATCTGTTACAACCTTAAAATGCATTTGAGAAAGCGTGAAACTTCTTCGACTAGCTCTAGTTGATATTTTAGGGTGATCTGGAAAATTAACGAGTATCGCCGAAACCTTAAGCCATGAATCACCCGCAAGAACAAGAAACCACCAATTGAAATAATTACCTGCTAAGTACTCTAACGAGCAGGTGAAAGTATGCCGTATACATCAAAGTCCTCAAAGTATAACTGTAGATAGTTGTGATGCCCGCTGAATAAAATTTATGAAGCGAACATTAGTTATTGAAGGCTGTTTCTAACGACAATGAGGCGCAGAAAGATGCACTTAAATTATCAGTCTCATCATTGTCTTCTGCCTGGTTGCTTTGGATGTAGCTTATTTATGCATTTCAGAGCTAACGTCACTTTTATACTTCCTAATTTTGTTCTTTTCTACCATGCGGTATCAGACACTTAGGATTATGCTGTTTATTTTAACAAATTCTAATTTGGAAGGTACATAAAGACGCATCATGGTTTACTTCAACTAATACACGAATTAATCTGCAATAAGGAACCACAAATACATTCAGAGGTTTCAGTTAGGTCTTACAAAGTATTCAGATTTAATACCTCAAGATGCAAACTCAATGACTTCAAAATCCAACTAGCATAACTCAACAGGAATAGTACGTACATGAGACCACAGGTTTACCTCACGAATCCTGGATCCAGCCGACAATGTTATTCGAAATACGTAAAGATGTATATTTTAAGGTTATTATATGTACATGTATCGGGACGAATGTGCTAATATATTTGATAACCAATTTCCATAGGTTAAATATACTTTTTTATTTATTTTTGATAACAGCTTGATTCCACACTGCAATTTTTGGTACAAGTACGGAATTTTCAGCGTGAATATCGGTAGCCCAAATTTCGCAGGCCGACCATAGATATCAGGTGTGCGTCGGCGAGGGTTCGAACCCCGGACCATGTGCATGGTCGGCGGGAGTCCTAACCACTGTGCCACCGACACTTGCTAAAATGCAACACACAACTTAAACTAGGGAAATTTGCTAGTGACAGCAGATTTGGATTCCTGAATTCCATGATCTAAGAGCATTTTAAACTTTCATTGCAGATATCTACAATGAAATCATATGATATTAAGTACCTTCACTAGTTACCGTAAGCTTAGCTATGTGCAAAAAATACCAACACGAGAATCTGATCAAAAAAATGATAAACACTGGGCCTTAAAAGCCTAAATTATGAACTTTACTGCTCAGAATGCATAAATAACACTTACTTTGACTACTGAAAATCAATAAGCTACGAATGCGCGGGAAAGTTGAAAATGGTCACCAATGTGTTGTTTTGTCGTATCAAATTGAACACCTTGAATTAATTACCTTAAGTGTGTTTCTGAAAAAGAATGGATTTTTCATAAAACTGCTGTGCAAATTTAGTGCATTTATTGCTAAAATTGTGGGTTGTTTTTATTATCATTATTGTTCCTTTGGGTTCCTAGTGGAACATACGGCTTCAACTGCACGTCTCCACTTGCTTCTGTTTTCTGCTGTACTTTTCACCTCCCTCCATGTTAGTCCATACTCTTTCAACACCTCTTCACACGATCTCCTCCTTTTCATTCTTGCACTGATGTCCCACTCGCCGTCTCCCTTTCGGTCTGATTCCACTCGAGCGATGGCCTGACGCGCGATGTCACCAACCGGCCTCCTCAGCGAGCGAGTGTCCAATCCATCCATCTCCACTTTCTCCTGCATATTTGTTGGTTGGCGATTGGTTCTTCTTTGTTTGTTCCCATAGTTTCTTGTTGGTGATTCTTTCCGGCCCAGCCATCTGATCTTCGGTATAGAGTGAAGACAGTTGTTGATGAAGGTCTGCAACAGGCTGTTGGAAATATTCTTTGTGACCCACCCGCCAAGTTTCTGATCCGTATAGAAGAGCTGACTGACTTGACGTTTGTATTGAAAATCCGACTGAATTTTGTTGTTGATGCTGAGTGATGAAGATTTCCAAATTGGTTTCAGATTGATGAATGCGTTTCTCACCTTCCCGATTCTCTCTCGATTTGACATCCTCGTCCGTTCCGACTTCCTGTAGTTGAGACAATCCTGCCTAGATAAGTGAATGAAGTAACCTCTTCCAATCCCTTCCATTGATGGTGATTGGCGCTGGATGTTGCTGCTGTTGTTTTTGTTGGCTGGTTATTTCATCAACTCCGTCTTGTCTATGTTCACATGGAGTTCTGTCTTCACTGTCTGCTTCTTCGACCAGTTTGTCGCTTGGTTTTCTCTTGTAAGTCTCCGATTTTTTGTGACATCAAACATAAATCATCCACACGCGATATCCAGGTCTTCTAGGTTCTTCACGTAGGTCCAGGATATTCCTGTCCTCTCGTTTCCCACTGTCTGACGCATAATCCAGTTCACCACAGTTAGGAATATCATTGGTGATAGTAAGCACCCTTGTCTGACTCCTGTGTTTACTCCAAACGCCTCGCCGAGTGGGTTTTCCGTTGTGGATCACTTGAAATTTCCCGTTTTCGTACAGCTGGCTGTTGAATAAGATTGGCAAATATTTGGGGTACGCCATAGTACTCGAGTAGTTTCCAAATTACTTCACGGTCAACGCTGTCAAAAGCCTTCTCGAAGTCTATAAAGTTGAGGTAGAGGTTTGATTGCCATTCCATGCTTTGTTCTGTGATGATGATGTGTAGAGTTGCGATTCGGTCAGTACATGATTTGCCTTTCCTGAATCCAGATTGTTCTGGTTGGAGTTCTATGTCCAGTTTGTCCTTTATTCTCTCCAGGATGATGCGACTCAGGATTTTACTTGGCGTCGACAGGAGCATGATTCCTCGCCAGTTCTTGCAGAGCCCTGTGTCGCCCTTCTTTGGTAGTTTCACGAGGTAACCTTTCCTCCAGTCAGTGGGCTCCTTTCCCTCCTTCCAGACCTCTCGGAATAATGGAGTCAGCATATTTGTTGTCGTCTCTCGGTCCGCTTTCAGTGCATTAGGGGGTATTCCATCTGGTCCGGCTGCTTTTCCAGCTTTCAGAAGCTTGATTGCATTCAAGACTTCAGCTCTCGTTGGAGGATTGGTGTCAGCTTGCGGTTGTGTATACGCTTTTGTTGGTATCTCTAGACGGGTTGCAGGTGGTGGTCGTTTTAAGAGTCCTTTAAAGTGATCAACCCATTGTTTAATCTGTCTTTCTTCCTTGGTAATCGGGTTCCCTTGGCTTTCTTTTATAGGTTCCACTTGTGTTGATCTCTTCCCAGATAGAGACTTGGCTCAGTGATGTCACATACTGTTTCCTGCTTTGCTCGGACAAATACAGTGAAAGTGACCTTTATGGTTGTGTCCTTCAGTTTTTGAGTGTTGAATTTGCGTTTTGGCCTAATCCCATCTAACTTCAAGGCTTTTAGCTTCGCCTGGAAAGACCCTTGTCAATGTAGTTGAAGACTGAACGATCAATTCATGGTTGTTTGCTCAAAACCAACTTCCCCAATTTTCGCTGTGGCATCAATACACCAGTCATCGTCTCATCGGTCGCTGTTCAGAAAGAAGTCAGGAGACAACCGTCAGAAGTAATATTGTGATTTATTATTGTAATATTTGTTCATAGACCTTAGTCGTAAAGCTTAGTTGTCCTCTCGAAACATAAGTATATCTGGAGGTGTTCCGCATGCTCCACCTTATAGAAAGTCAGGCTCCAAGACTCCTAAAGTCTTGCAGCCAAAGCACCTTCCTTCACAATTCCCTTTAAGTTATAAAAACAACCCGAAGGTGTATACCGGTATGACGAATAGCAGTTGGATGGGTAGACCTTTGATGCTATGCCTTTTAACCGTCAACCTAGGCCCAACCTGTACTACCCTTATATCCAGGAACACATGGTAAATTTTCCAGGTGTCCCGAATCACTGGTACGACCCATGGCACCTAGGACCACCTCATTGCACACCAACTCCGATGTGCAGACACCCAGTCCGACCTCCTTTTCATTCATAAATTCTTGCGGTGCTGACGCACAAATAGATTTAGGTTATGGTGACATTTTAAGCCAGTTTGTAGTATCCCGTGACTTATTCACGATATTGCTAATTAATGCACGTTCCTTAATCAATAAGATATCTGAACTAAGGACATTATTATTAGTCGCCAAGCCTACTGTAGCTCTGATTACTGAGTCATGGTGCTCATCCTCTGTACTTGATGTGCATATAGGTATCGATGATTACACTGTACACCGTGCAAACAGAGATTGCAAGCGTGGTGGAGGATGTCTCATATATATACATAACTCATTTGTAGTCAGTAAGGTGGAAGATGAAACAATGAATAATGTACCTGACTCACTCTGGGTTGTCTTACATGGAGATAAGTACAAACTTCTCATAGGCTGTGTTTATCGAGCACCAAGCTCAACAAAAGAAACTGATGCGTTATTAGCTAAATCGTTTGCACACGCATCCTCGTTTAGTGCTAATTACAAAATAATTGCAGGGGACTTCAATCTTCCAGAAGTCAATTGGCTAACTAGTTCCGGCCCCCAACGCTTCGACGAATTACTTGCCACTATAGACTGTTATGGATGGCAACAACACGTCCAGACACCTACTCGTGGTGACAACATGTTGGACCTTGTTTTTTGTCATGACACAATCCCAGTATCCACGTATGTTGGTAATCGATTTTCCAGTAGTGACCATAGAATGGTACTCTGCTCTCTGCCTTTCTCACCACTAAATACAGGAAACAAACAAGACTCAGGAAGCACAATATGTCGTAGTTACAAATATACAGACTGGGGATTAGTCCAAGAACTTATTCGACTCTGTCAATGGGATGACTATTTTACCACTGACTCCCTGGAGGCCTTAGTAACCCTGTTTTACAGGAATGTTACCCTTTGTCTAGATACAGTTGCTCCAAAGAAAATAGTGAAATTAAGTAGACACCGAACTGAATATATTCCAAGGGCACACCGTAATAAGTTAAGGAAGCTGAAGAAACAGTACTATTCCACTAAGGACATATCACTATTGCTCTCAATCCACGAGTCTCTTGAATCTCTCAAGCGCCTACGCTCTCAAAAGGACCTCGACGAAGAGTTAACGGCACTTGAAAGTACCTCCAAAGTTTATAACTTAACGGCACTTCTTAAAAAACGAATGCAGTCGGCGAGGGAAATCCCATACTTACTTCACGACAAAGTAATCTACAATGAACCTGCCACTATCTGTGAACTTTCAGTGATTGGTTTGCAAACTTTAGTTTAGAAACACATATGCCTGGTGAAACCGCCCCCCTTACTATCTCTTCCCTTGAAAGCATTGTGTTCACTAATCAGTTAATAGTACAAGCAATTAAAAGCCTTAAACCTTCCACTAGTACGGGACCGGATGGCCTCGCTTCGATAATTTTCAAAAACAGTGGGTGTGATATACCCTGTTACTTCTTAAATTCTTCTCAATATCTATGGACACTGGCACTTACCCTAGTGAGTGGAAAACTAGCTTCATAATTCCACATTACAAATCTGGTGATAGGGCAAACGTCCGCAATTACAGACCCATAAATATAACCCCAGTTATCTCACGAATCATGGAGAAAGTTGTAAAAGATCAATTGTCAGACTACCTAATTAGGGAAGATCTTGTTACAAGGTCTCAACACGGATTTCTCAAAAATAGATCCTGCGTTACTTGCCACTTCGACTTTTTCAACTGCATCACTAGTAGTCGCGAAGCACGTAAGCTAGTCGTTGTTCTCTACTTCGATATATCTAGGGCATTTGACATGGTATCTCACAGTATTCTCTTTGAGAAGCTGTACTCTTGTGGAATTCGCAACCCATTACTGAACTGGTTAAAATCATTTCTAAGCAACAGGGTACAAATAACCAAAGTTGGATCTGTATTGTCTCATCCTAGGCAGATCTCAAGTGGGGTCGTGCAAGGTAGTGTCCTAGGTCCACTTTTATTCACAGTCTACATTAACAGCATTTGCAAGTGCTTCACCTTAGGCAAACCATTCCTATATGCTGACGACCTCAAAGTCGTCTACTCCTGCTACACTCATGAATTAAGCGATATGGTTACTAAAATACATCTTGAACTAAGTAGCCTTGCAACGTGGTGTGCTGAATCCTGTCTAAATTTTAACATTGACAAATGCGGCTGGATTTGTATCGGCAACAGTAAGCTTGATCTAACTCTTGAAATAAATGGGCGAAAACTAGCTAAGCTCAACTCAGTCGTAGATCTCGGTATTAGATACTCTAGTAACCTAACGTTCGCTGAACAGACTGATTATGCCAGACGTAAAACGCGAAGGCTGATAGGATGCATAACACGCAATTTCTTTTGTTGTGAAACTAGGGTTTTATTATACAAAGTATGTGTCCGACCTATCTTAGAATACTGCCCGTTTATTCTTAGCGGACTCAGACAAAATGACAAGCTTAAATTAGAGGGAGTGCAACGGCAGTTTACCTCAAGAACTCTTGGTTTAGAAAGTGGTCTGGAATACCATGAGCGATGCGAAAGACTAAGATTAGAACCCCTCTGGAAAAGACGCCTTAAGCTAAACCTTATCTTTTACTATAAGCTAACTAATCTTCTCTTGCATTCCTCCGAGCCAATAACTAAACCTACCGCTGTCATCAGTTACAATCTTAGAAATCATCACAACCTAGCTGCTATGGAGCACTGTCAGACTTACGTGCGGTACAACTTCTTCTTAAATAAGTTTTCAGTCATTTGGAATAGACTACCAGCTAATGTGCGCGATGCAAACACACTTCCAGTGTTCATCTCCTCAGTCACCAGACTGCTCAAAGATGACAATGCACTTTTACCTGACTCTTACACCTTCTTTTTCACCCTACATAGATATTTTAAGTTCTTTAAACGTGTAGTTACAACAAACTACAATTATAAATTTTAATATTATTGGAACTAGATGATAAACATTTCTACACAGGACAGTAATATTAGTTTACACATAATATAAAAGTTAGCATAACGGGACTAGTTAGTTTGTGTACCAAAATAACCACAGTTACTAAACAGAATATATATGTATATATTTATTAATCACTCCTTAAGGACTCCCGTTGCTTTCTTTTGCGTTGCTGTTGTTTGTCTTCTTTTTTCTCTCACCATTTCAGCTTCCATTTGACTTTTTGAATGAGAATGAATAATGTGGATATTTGACCATTTACAATGACAAATGATCTGCAAACATTATTGGTCCCGTATCTTTCAGTTGCCTGGTTAATAACGAATTAACTTTCTCCACGACGCAACCTGGATTACATTTGTGGAATATACTCTTATACCAATGGAAAAGTATCTATTTGTAATACAACGTCACGATTGTAGCTTATAACATAACTGATCGTATCTGTAAAAATAGCTTCCTTATTACCCAATTTGGATATAAATCAAATCAAAAATAAGATTCGGATTTGTACACACCCAAGTTATATTGAGGAATTACTTCAAGCTTTATTTTTTCCCAAGTATTTTTAATCCATCCAAAACTTACTTGGGTTTTTTTGTTAATGCGAAGTTAATATTCCTATATTTCATGACGTGCTCCATTGAATGACTGGTTATCATATTGTTCCCACAGACCTAAAACAAAACCGCCAGCAACCATGTAACTTAACCATAAACCGAATTTATGAAATTTAAATAATGCTTACCCATGCCTGTATATTTGGTGTGTCCTACACAAGTAGGAAAAAATGTGTATTTTATTAAAACATTATTATTAATTATGATTGCTAATCGTATATGTAATTTATCATATTGATGATGCCTGTAAACTGGCGTCTCTCATGTACAAAATGAGAATATACTATTATTATTATTATAATGGCTATATGTTGGTGTTAGAATAAATAATTCTCGAGTCGCCAAACTGGGTTCTGATTTTTGCGTCCGTTCGTACTAAGCGTTTCTGAGAAGCTTCGAGGAATAGCGTGAGTCCCAGCGTAGCAAGAGATGAGCATTAACGGCTTACGAGAAGTGGCTGAAAACCCTTGTACTAGGTAGTGGTCTGAACCCACATGTGCTCCTCTATTTGATCGTGCGTCCAGTAGGCTTCCACTCTACTTTCTTGAGATTGAAATGAAGTCTGTCTGGTTTTTGGTGTGTCCATTTGGTTAAATCCATGTCGCCTTGTGTATATCCTTGTGTAGAAAAATAAAAAAATTAAACACACTGCCACCAATCACCAAATCCTTGAAGGCGCAGAGGTCTGGGAAGAGCTCGCCATTGTTGTTGATTTCACCGAGGGCCTCTCGACCCATGGCGTGTTCTCCTTCTGTATTGTGTCCTCCCAGCTTCGCATTAATATCACCCATCAAGATTTTAATATCGCTGTTGTTCATTACTGTTTGTAGTTGTCTGTGGAAAGCCTCCTTCTCTTGTTCTGAGACGTTTGTAGGCGCATAGCATTGAATGATTGTAACCTTCCTTCCTTTTGAGTTGAACCTGGCTGTCATTATCCTGGAGGAGATTGGTTCCCACTGCATGAGAGCTTTTGCTTCTGTAGGTGACATCATGATGGCCACTCCCTTGATGTGCTTGTGATTGTCCTGTGGGCGACTGGAGTATATTATTGTCTCTACAGTTGGTAGTTGGCACGTACCACATCCGTTCCATCTGCTCTCGAAGATTCCTTACACTTCCATTATATATCTCCTCATTTCCGCGGCTACCTGGGCAGCCTTTCCAGTTTCGTAAATTGTACGAACATTCCATGTCCCCATCCTTATTTTTGCTTTCATCGAAAGAAGGCAAATCGGCTGACTGGCTTCCGGAAGGCTTTCACCAGCCTGCGTCATTTCACTTCCCCGATTCCGGCTAAAGATAAGGTTATTGTTTATATATTTAGTATTTTTAATATATTTGTGCGTTGAAGTTTCTGTAGCAGTTTGGTTAAGTTTTGAGGGTAAGGTTGCTTGCACCACGCCCCAACCCTCCCTCTGTATCCGGGCCTGGGACCGGCTAGAAAACTAGCGAGCTAGTAATCTAGGTGAGGTTGGGATACATTTAGATGGGATTTAATATTCTAGAAGTTGGGGATTCAGTTTGCCCCGAACCCGAAGGGAACCTCTAAATAATAAATATTTAAAAAAAATCAAAAGGCCAGTGGATGTTAGGGGCCCCATACAGAGTATAAGCTCACGTCTTTTCCTGCCCATTATCGTCACATGTTGACGGGAACAGATTAGATTGACTATTCGTCCTCAGAATCGTCCAATTACCTATCCCAGAAATTGAGTATTTACTGCATCGTGGATTACTGATGGGCTTGAGTGGTCGGAAATTAATTCGGTCATTCAGTACAGCCAACGTGGGAAGCACAATGATATGTTAAGAAATCGTGGACCTAGTGGTCATACCAGTACAAGAATCTTTGGAGGCCTGGAATCGGATAGTCATGATAACTCGGTAAAAGAAAGTAAACGACTGAATGTAACGAAAATAGTCGAAGTCAGACAAATTGTTCGGCGGAACTTTACCTGAACAGATATTAATCAATATTTATCAAAAATAATTTCAGATACATAGCGAGTGGCAATTACACAAAGTGTAAAATATTTAATCAAAAATGAATGACACTGATTATGAATTTTGGAGACTTGACACTGCATGCAAGAACGCGGTCAATTGCATACATCTCGATTAATGCCAGGCAAGACGAACCTAGCTGCTATCAATTTATCTGTAGTCCGTATTTCATGATAGGAAAGGTTATGTAGACACTAAAAGAGTGCACGGAGTAAAGATAGGGGAACAACGGGTCTTGTGGTGCCTGGGAAAGTGTCGCGAATAATGGCATCCTCGCCGTAGAAAAGAAGTATATGCTCTATCTCTAGGGAAGTGTTGTGGTAAAGTTTATCTATATTCAACCGTGATAACTGGGCTTCTGAGATTTTTGTAAGTTAGTTGTTTGGCAGAAGATAGAAGAGAACAGCGAAAGAGGTGTAGAGACAGCCAGAAAACATTAGTAATTTAAAACAGACGATTTGCGTCAAACACAGGGTTCACTCCTTTTAAACTGCCAAGAAGTTATAGTTACTGAATTTCATGGTGTTTTCCACTAACAGATAGTCCAAGTGTTTAGTATTAAATAAAGAGGAGAAAGATAAAATAGGATGATAGTTCCTACATATATAGGGTAGTGGCAGGAATCGATACTGAAAAGGAAGTGAAACCAAAACGTCAAAGTGCGTAAAATATAGAAAAAAGCAAAAGTTTAGTTATGCTTATGATTTTGCTCTGATTTATATGATTAGATGTCCTTCTAAAGTAGTGCTTTCACACCACATGTTTGCAGCCAGAGAATCCATACCCAATCTGCGGCATTCAGTTTTCATCTTTCTTTCTGTCGGAGTCATTCAAACTCAACAGCCTTAGAAAAAGAGCGCTTTTCACAGACAAGGGTGGTCTTCTTAAGTCCCCACTATCATATCCGCCGAATACTAATCACCCCTCTACATGCAAAAGAACTCAAAAAGGCCGAAAAGTGCAGCGGCTGACGTCTTCAGGACACAATCAGGGTGTACGCAGAACTTATGATGAGCACGTCTCAGATAGAGCCTTCTCCAAATAGTTTGGTATTTCAAGGATAATTTCAAGTAGTGTATGTGGGGAACTGGATTACGATCCATATCAATGTAGATGAAGATTGAACGATCAATTCACGGTTGTTTGCCCAAACCTACTCCCCCTTAATTTTCGCGGGAGTCGTCAAGCCAGCAGTCATCGTCTCATCGTTCGCTGTTCAGTGGAAGATAACAAACTATTAGAAGTATTATCGTGATTTATCGTTATAACATTTATTCTCAGACCTTGTGTGTAATAACCTTGTTGTTGGTTACATATTGGCGTAAGAATAAAGGATTCTCGAGTCGCCAATCTGTGTTCTGGTTTTTTCGCGTTGGTTATTACACATTGTTTCTGAAAGTCTTCCAGGTACAGCGTGAGGTCCAGCGTAGTAGGAGCTGGACATTGACAATCCGGTTATGCTTAAGCAATGGGCCTCCGGTAATCAACACAAGCCCTGCAGTCTATACCACCGTTTTAAGGCGCTGTCAGTCAACTCCACTGAACAGCGAACGATGAGACGATGACTGCTGGCTTGATGACTCCCACGGAAAATATGGAGGAGTTGGGTTTGAGCAAACAACCATGAATTGATCGCCCAATCTTCAACTACATTGACACTTCCCGGCAAAATACGGATCCATCCCTTGTTTCCACCACAACCAGTACACGTTAACTTGGATGCCAGTGTGAGAGCCTGGGCCACACGGACAGAGCTGAAATGGAAAACAAACAGAAAAGCCAACACACCACAGGCATACCCACAGCACAATCACACTCATCGATGACGACCTACGCCTTCCAGTCGAAGGCATTCTCTTGACATCTTGCAACACAATCTCCACTTGCTAGAATGACTCTTGCAGAATGCAACGTGACCATAGCAGCACCTCACGATACTCTACGCACATCCTCTCATCTATTCACTACTAATTACCCTTGCGATCGCTTGTTATTCATTCTGCCTCAGTTCTAGTAGTGGTGACGTATGCAAGCCTCAGCCGTCTACACTCACGCTCCCCGGCGTGTGGGACAACAGCTAATCATTATCTCCGTGTGCATGTCATTCCCAGCACTAGCCTCCCCGGCGTATACGACCCATCTGCTGTCTTTGATGTCAATCAATTTATTCACGG